AGTGTTGTAAACTTTTTTTATGGACCATAAACTCTGAGCTCACAACACTTTTATTGAGCCTTTCTGTTTTTAATAACCCTAAGAAAATCATTTCATTTACAGAAGCCTTCAAAGTGTAAACACTCTTATTAAAATGTGATGTTTTGTGATGCCTGTCAGCATTCAATAGTGCAGCCTTTTGATGTTTCAGACTCAACCAGATTTGTACTCTGTCTTGTCCACATCTGTGGAAATATCACTAACTTGCCAGAATATCGTCCAAGTTAACAACCTTGCTTTCATTGTATCGTACATGCTGATTCAAATCCGATCAATAATGTGACTCATTGCTAATTATATATTTTTGTAATTGCTGTCATCTATCCCCAAACCACTCCAACAAAGTGAGCAGTGGTTGCAGCAGGAGGAGATGTCTGCAAAAACGTCAGGAAGACAATTTGGCAACATAAATCATAAAGAATGCAAAACATCCAGAAGAAAGCATACATCTAGAAGTTACTGTATATCATTATTTAACTAATAATTAGAGAATTGTTTGTTGTTCTCTACATAACAATAATGGCTGCTGCTTGCTTGGTGTGATTGGCACATTCTAATTTATCCATTAATCCTTTAGAAAAGTGTTTTATAATTGTCCCACACATATGTACTTATGTTGTCTTATGTTAGAAAATTATGTAATACTTTGTAGCTGGATACTGAATGGTTAATTTAGATTTGTTCTTTTGATGATGACTGTTTTTCTTGCACTTCATGGTGGTCTTTCAAGATGAAAGCTGATATAATCCATTAAAGCAGGAGCTCTTTAAGGCAGGTTAGACCTAAATTCTCTTCTGTCATCAAGTAGGTTTAGATGCATCACAATGTATTGTCTTCCTCTGGGATTAGTCTGTCACAGCCCAGTGATAATTCCACTATCTAATACTATGGTGATTACATTAGATAAACCTCTCATACATGTGATGATCCCTGTATCCCAGTTCACTTTTGTTCACTTTCTCTGGCCTGAGCAGTGAACCTTTATTTGGACTCAGCGTGTCTCACGGCTTCAGGAGTTCACATGCTGCCTTTAAAGTCATCCATCTTGTATCCCGCCTAAAAGAAAACATGCTGACAAAAATGGCTGTATTGAATGATTAAGTACTTGCTTTATGTGTGGTCCATTGGGGGTCTATTAATTTTTTGCAAGTCAGTGTGTGTGTGTGTGTGTGTGTGGGGGGGTGTGTGTGTGTGTGTGTTGGAGTGGGGGTTTGGGGGGGGGTGAACATTCATCTTCAACAATCTTTGTGCAAAAGAAGCTGGTGATTTTAGTACCAAAATAATTCAGCAGGCATAATCAGAAAATCTCTGGCAATTGAGAAAATCTTGGAATAAGAAAAAAACTTACAACTAATTTTGCCTTTCAGACACACATTTTATGTTTTCTGTAGTGGTTGTAAAAGGTGGTAGGAGACTGTTTTCTCAGGGAGAACCCAACAAGAGTTAATAAAAATGTACTGTTTCTACTCACCGATTCCAGTTGTATATCTGAGGTCTGTTCTGCTGACTTCAGGCACTTTATTAGGTACAACTTTTAAATTGTTGGTCAATAACCAGTCACATGACAGCAATACATCCAGGTAACTTGGTGCAGTATAAACCAAACATGAGAATGGGAAAGAGAGGAATTTAAATAACTTGGATGAGAAATTATTAAACACTGCTGATAAACTGTGATTTTCATCCATAGTTATCTATTGGATTAACAGAATAACCCACAAAAGAGAAAGTATACAGTGAGTGGCAGTTGGACCAAAACGTCTGATTCAACCAGGTAACCATTTATTAAAACCGATAACAAGTGGCATACTTTCAATGTACTGCTGTGATTTAGTTAAATTTAGTCATGCTGACCTTAAAACTAAACCAAAAATCAAATCTCAAACCAATTTAAGCAAGAAGATGTAAAGATTTTTCAGGTTAAATCTGTAGTCAGTCCTGGACCTTGACTCACCAATTTCTCATTGCCCTTCCCTTTTCAGAAGGTAGATTTCTGAGGAATCAAATGCTTCCATGAAAGACCCCCACAGGGGTGGCAGTGGTGACCGTTGAGAAAAGGTCCAGATGACTGATTGTAGGCAGATACCACTCCTGACCTGTGGCTGAACTCGTTGGAGGTTTAAGTGTTGGCTGGATCCCCTCTAATGCTCCGTCACAAGGACCACTCATGCAAACCCTCTGATCTGAATCGATGATGCATGTGAAAATGTAACACATTTATAGTTAGTTCTGTGCCACAAAATGTTTTGGTTTCTGGTAATGAAAGCAACAGGAAGTTGTTTCTGGAAATAAAACACTGGATGTCTAATCACAAAGCCAGAAAGCTGTTTGTGTTTCACCCCGCTGCTCATTTTATCAGCTTTGTGTCCTATGTTAGCAGGCTGGACTCCCTTGTCTTTGTTTTGTTTTTTTAGAACCAGAAGCTTTCACAGTTCCAGATCTTGCCAAGATGAATTAACAAGATTATTGGCTGCTGCCCAGAAGATGTGTTTACGTGCGTTCTGTGATTTATGTGTGCTTTGTTGGATTATGCAATACACTTAACTTGTTGGGCTTTAATGCAGAATGCGTTTGACTGCAAAGCAGGCATGTGGATTCAGAGCAGGCATGGTGCTGGAAAACAGGCCTGTTGGGGTTGAGAGCAAGTTTCTGTTTATGTTCAACAGCCTTTAGGCTCACAATGTCAGATCTGCAAAAGGCCTAGCCTCAGGGGCCTTGAAGTAACTAGAGTTTTCGTTCCCCAGGTCAAGGAGTCCCAGCCATTCTGAATGCTTATTGGTGTCCAATTTGGTTTAGGTAGCTGTAAAGTTCTGGGTTTCTCAGGTTACTTCTGTCTGTTTTCATTGAATGGTCATCATAATCAAAGAAATGAAGTGATCTGTTTCTGACTGGGAGCAACACTCTGGAGTCATGAACTCTGTGGCTATTCAACAGAAAAAGTTTTGATATTGTTATATTGATTGAACGATCTGTGTTGCATTTAATTTTTTCTTGACATCCTTCCAGCAAAGACAATTGGGAATCTCAATCAGATATGAACCAACTGTAGAGGAGCAAGGTGTCTGTTTTGTGATTTATATTTTATCAAAGTGATCTGAATCACAAACCCTCCTAGGGAAACTGGATTTGTCAAAAGCTTAGTTCTGCAAAGATTATTTGTGTTTTCCTAAATCAGCAGCGCGTTCATTTCCTTGCAAATGCCAGAGTGAAGGGAACCGCTGCTTCATAAGAAGGACTTTGGTCTAGACATGAAGGTTTCCCAAAGGGAAGGAAGTGAATAGGTGGAAAACAAAGCCAGGGGGAGTTATGCGCTTGTTTGTGAAACATTTTGAGCGACATTCCACTGAAAACAACAAAAGCAACACATTCCTCTTTTTAATTGAATACTCTGCTGTATGACCGTGCTTCACTTTCAGATCCAGACTTTTCCAGCTCTGGATTCATCCCTCCTTTCAGAAATTTGATGTGAAAAACTTTATTTTTATTTATTTATTTATTTATTTATTTATTTATTTATTTATTTATTTATTTATTTATTATTGTTGCTGGTTCCATCACAGCTGCCATTGATTCTTTATGCTTGATTTTATTTTATGATCAGACAAATATTCCCACTGTCAGTTCTTTATCACCTCTTTTAAGAAATAGACCTGTGGCAGATTTAGCTCATTCTTATATATAAATTTTTTACATATATTTTAAAACTGTCACTATGTCCCAACACTATAATAGTGTTGGGACACTTACTGGGAGCATTTCTGCAGATGGCAGTAGGACTGCAGGAAGGAGCCAGAGGAGCACTTTTTTTTCCAGAATGTCTCATATTGTCAGGACATTTTTTGTATTAAAATTTTAGTCATATTTTATGTTTGGGGACATTGGTGTTCTTTTAGAATCAGTCTACATTCATGATCACACTCATTTTTAGATATTGGATACACTCGTATCCCAAACTGGAACAACAGAACTATAGTTTAATTATTTTTCTTCTTAACCCATATAAGATGCTTCTGACATTTTCTCTGTTTCAGGAGTGGCTTAACACAAGGACAAATAAACACAAAATATGATGTCTGTTATGATTCAGAGCCTACCTTTTGCCCTACTTGGTGTCACACCGCAGTCTGTTTCATTTGTGGCCCCTCCGGAATCCACAGAGACCCGAAAACCTGATAAAAGCACTCGGCCAAATACTCTACAAATCTGCACTCTTCCCACAGCTGTGTAAATAAATGTAAAAAAAAACACTCAGGAAATTTAATCTTGTAATTGTTTTGGCTTCCTTAGCAGCGAACCAAAAGACGTCTCTTCTTTTCATGCAGAATAAATGGATCTTAAATGAGACTGGAAGTCATTCGACAGCACATTCTTTGGCGCATGCCACATCTTTTCATTATGTTGTTTACTTTGTCTCTAAAGATGCTTGAGTTCATGTTAGATGTAAGAACCATTCATGAAATGTTCAATCTCACAAGATAAATGTTTTATGATCTGGGGGTGGAGGGACTGCAACTGTTTAAATTGTATACTGAAGAAAAGCAGTTTGCTAAAAGACTTTCTTCAACAAATATGTGTTTGCACATAGTCATGTCTTACGATCAGTTGTCAGGAAACCCGTAGACTGACTTTGTCTCGGATGGTCTGAGCCTCTATTAACCGATAAATCCTCTGTCACAACACATTAGCCCGTCGCAGCCATTTGGTCAGGATGATTGCAGCTTATGTCAAGCTTGTTAGTGTTTAGAGCTGTTACACTGCAGAGGGACGTGATATACAACTGTTGTGTTTGTGCTCATGTCTGGTAAGAATAAAAATGTGAGGAGAAAAATTCCAGCTCTTGTTTTGTAGTTTTCTGACAGGCCATGTGTCTAGTGTCTAGTGTTCACACCGTGAACCTGGAATGATCTGCAGCCCTTTTGGTGTTATAATTGAGTGACTCACTGCTGTTGTTCAATCTGTAGGCTGCCACTGGACGGTGCTTTGGTGACAAGGATTTCCGAGGAGGTTTAGAGAACGGGATTCTGCTGTGCGAGTAAGTTTTTCCTGCATTTGTTTAGCTCTCTATCTAACTATGATGATTATGACTATTTCTTTTTGTCTTTTTTCTATCTTCAGCATAAGTCAGTGAGAAGCATCTAGTTTATTTGTGGACCCCACCTTATCAATATGTTCTTTTAGATTTTTGCTACATTTTGTTTTATCTATCATTTTGTAAAAATGCACATCGAGTTTTCAAAGAATAGGTTAAATAGGTTAAATTCTACAATGTCACAGTTGTTGCCACTGTTTCTTTCCTGCAAGAAAGTCATGAGTTTGAATCCCAGGCTGGGGTCTTCTCCCTTTACTGCCTGAGCCCACTGTGGGTACTCAGGCTTCCCTGGATGACTGTTAGTTTAGTCACTATGAATTATTTTGCAGAATTGCAGGAGGAGCTGAATCAACTTTCAAAGTGGCAATGGGGAAGACAATAGCACTAATGCATGACTTTTCACTGTCCATTGACATCGAGTCACGGCAACTACCGTGGAATGGAGGTCAGCTGAGTGCAGTGACTGTGTCTCAAGTGATTGTAGCATAAAGACAGCAGAATCTGTAATGTAACAGGTTTTATGTTTAGTATTTTTGTTTGTCATTTTAACATTGAATGTTTTTTTTAATTATTATTTACATATTAGGTCAATCCCCCTTCCTCCTTCCCTTCTGTATTTCATTGTTCATGATTGATTTGTAAAAGGAATTAAAAGGAGAAAACATCCAGAGGATGCTATACAGGCACTGTATGGTACTTTTTCTCATATTGACTGCTGGAATGCGGTCGACATCACAGGTCCGCTGATACCTAATACTACGAAACCAGGAGAGGGGGCTTTCCCTTCACAAGGAAGGGTCATTACGGTGCTTCCTCTGATGAAAACAGACACAAAAGTTTGAAATGCAAGACAGGGAGGGAGATCCGGGACTGCAAAGCTGTTTCTTCATGGATGTTAGGAATGCGCTATAGTTTACCCAAAGAAAAGATTGCTTCTTGCGTGATGAGAGATTGCAAAAAAAATACAAATTAAATAAAAATAAAAAAGATTACCCTCTGCATTTATGCATGTCACTGTGAAACAAAATATATGCTCTCTACATTTGGCTTCCTACCACAGTGCAAAAGCATGACTGTTAGTTTTAAATCAATTAGGTATGAATCTGTGTGTGCATGGTTGTTTGTCCTATGTGAGGTATAAACCATGGAGGGCTGGATGGTAGACATGAACAATTTAGGGTGCAATCGCAGAGTGAAAAGAAAATGAATCTGGATTTTTGCATTATCACCAGTGCAAACCTACTTAGACAGAACTGCCTCGCTATGATTTAAACATAGATGAAGAGTTGAATGCTTCAGATTAATTCATGCTTGTGTTAGAATGGCCCAGTCAAATTTAACCCTAAAACCTCACACTTGAGAAGTGCGCTATTTGACAAAGATTTGGTAAAAATGTTAATTTCCAAGATGTTCAAACCTAAACCTGTCAGATGTACCTGAAAAGACTGTAGCTGTGACTGGAGTGAAACGTGGTTCACAAAGTCTTGTCACAGGAAAATGCATGTGCGCTCCACACCTTTCAGATTTGAGTTTGTAAAATATTTTAAAATCCATGTATACTTTCCCTTGTACTTCATAACTATTTTTCACTGTATGTTGGTCTTTTACATAATATTCTGCAAAAATTTACAGAAAAAAGTTCAAGCAGAGTGAATATTTTTTTGCAAAGCATTATATGTACAGGCACATTTTCTTCTGCTGTCTGACATTTTTCTGTTACAAAAGCTCTAGAAAACTCAATTGTCTTGTTATAATGCAACATTGGACACATTAGGTTTAAAGCAACATCCTGTATCTTGATTTATGCCAGTAATTTTAATTAGTCAACATTCTTGAATAGATTTAATTAACAAATTAGAAAGTCTAGTATTCCTTTCTTTTTATCTGGTCACTATATGCAGTCTGAGCTCCTTTATGGAAGAAAATAACCATATTTCTTCAAAACACTCCTTAAGTTATATCTGATTCTGAACATGTTGGAGTTTGAAATTATTTTGTGGTGTGGTAACCAAAGTGGGATAAACGATATGTTCCCACTAAGGAACAGCTGTACCTTTTTAAAACATGTGGTAGTCAGAGTTCAAATTTTACAACAGTTTTATGAGTTTGACCTTCTTAATCCTGTAAGTTCAAAGGTGAAAAGGAGAAGTTCAGACCCAGTTGTCTGATTTAGAGTCTTTATCTTTATCAGTCTTCAAGAAGGCACTATGAGGCCTTGAGGTTGTTTGCACAGATTCTTTGTTGTCAATGTTTGAGCTTTTAATCACAACTTGCTATCAGCTCCTGTTTCAAGTTCGGATTCTGCTTTTCTCTAAATTCACTTGAAGATCTGCATTGATTACTCTGCATTTGCTTTCTTTTCATGAGGTTACTGAGCTCCATTAGGCCTGGCTTGGTAAAGAAAATTAACCGACTGCCAACACCAATAGCTGGCCTGGTAAGTTCTTCTCTTTTATATTCAAATTTACAGCCTTTCACCATGAACTTAGAACAACCTCTGGGCTTGCCTGCATGTTTTCCCATACTTCTGGTAGCTATTTGTCATCTTTAGCATAATGCCTAAATATATATAAGCCCTCATTTTCTGCTTCTGTTTCTTTAATACAAGTTCCAATAGTTGATTGTCTGAAGGTAAGATTTTCTGTAACCTGTCATCATATTATATTATGTCATGAAAGTGCAAAATATATTTTGTGACTGGATTTCTATGGTTCAATGGATTGAATAAAAGTCAACATACTCCTGCCAAACTGAGGTTTTTTTAGTGTACAAAAATGACACCAAAATGAACAATTTCAAAATTTGTTTTCTACTTCATTGTCACATATATTGTGTATTATTCAATTGTAAATGCACACATGTAAAAATAAAATACCTGCTATAACTTGGTTCCATGAGTTTCAAAACTAAATTGTTTCAAAACTAAAATTTTGAAACTATTTTAGTTTATTTCAGTTTTTTGAGAACATGCTGTATCTACTAGAGTTATGCATAATCTGATTAACCATAAATAAATTTAAAAAATAATTTTCAACCTTTTAAGTAAATCTCTCATTCACATATTTTTATTAAATTTGAAAACGCACTAAAATTCTCAGATTTAGATATGCAAGAGCTGCACAATATGTCACAAATTTAAAACAATATTTTCTAAGCAGTATGGACACGTCTCTGCAACATTCAGCGAATACAAATAGACGTCAATATTTTTCAAGAGACACTAATTCAAACCATCACACAATATATTGACGACCTCTAGATAACATGCAAACGTAGTTTGAGCTCTCTGTGTCATTTCATGGTGTATCATGAAGGAATGAGGTTGAAAAATGATGCATGTTTGTCTATTTTTGAAGCATTGCAAAGTGAATCTCTGGCTTTAAAAGGAGTTGCATCTTAAGCTACCAGGAGTGCAGTGAGCTTTAAATTACAAATGCCTGCAGATGAATGATGTCAGGTTCCGTCTGATGATAGAAAATACATCCAGTAATGCATGACAGCAAATCCTCATTCAGAAAGTTCTTCACAAAATCAGATTATCAATAAACATCCTGTCTGCTAACAACCTGGAGAAATACACCAGTTTATAAAAAGCTCCGTCTCCCAGTTTTACACTGCTTTTGTTTAACCAGAATACCCATTTCATTCCAGATGTGAGAGAAGTTTCTTTTTTCAGAAATATGAATATTACATGTTGTTGTCTGTGGTTGCTCTGGTTTCTCTGAGGAATTCTCAGTTTGAGTCTCTTTGAAAGAGAGCTTGTGAATTGAAGTATATCTCAACCCTGATAGTTTTCAGCAGAATCTAGTCAAATACAGTAGAGTTCTTTCATTACGACCTATGACCTTGATTTGAATGAAGCAGCCATTCAAGACCGACGCTCACATATAAACAGAGACTAAGAAAGTTGATAGCATGGGAGCTCAACTCACACTTCATTTTAAATTACTGCTTTTACTTTTGAAGAGATTCCAAGAGTTGCTTTCAAGAAAATTATAAGAGTTAGTCTTTACTAATCTGACCTCTAAATACAAATGTTCAATGTGATGGAGTAAAAAACGAAATATTGTTAATGAAGTTAGATAAAAACCTTTGTAACTCACATATAAGGGTTGCTTGTTAAATTTGTCAGGATTTCAAGTGAGGAATTGTAATTAGAAAATATTAGTTCTATGATAAACATTAGAACTTAGAGAATCATGGCTGAATCCAACATGTTCAGGGTGGGTGGATATATCTTCTTGTCTAAGTTGCTGCCAGTGAGTTTTTTCTGGATTTTCACAAGCAGTACTTTATGATGCACTCTATCTTAAGGTAAAAAAATACTAAACTTTGAAAAAAAAAGAACAATCACTCATCAGTGCAGGAAATTTGGGGGTAGGTGTGCTTTGTTTTGCAAGACCATCCTTTGTATTATTTTCATAGTGGGTGGGAGGTTTTCTGCCTACCCAAGGAAGAGCAACACAGAGTTTGAATTAATCAGGATTACTGAGTCTCATACAACATTTAAAGTCATTCTGGTCATTTTATTTTGCTAAATGCATCTTTTTTTAAATATATTGTTTTATCTGAAGCACAAATCACTGAATCATAAAACAACATTAACAGAAACCATCCAATCATTTACAGTACACAATTACAAGACCAGAAAAAACAGGAATTAGCCATTAATAATTGGCCCAAAGGGACAATAAACAATCTCCTGGAAAGACATGTTTACATAAGTAATTCGACATAAAAAGTAATGTTAAAAGAACCTTACGCCTTCGAGGGTTTTTTATGTTTGAACAATGGGTCCCTTTATTCTCTCTGAGTTTCATAATGCTGTTGCTTTTGCACACCTTTCTCCTTTGTCTTGGCTGTGATTATAGAGGTGAGAAACACATAAACAAGGAGTTTGCTGTTATCTGCCCTATCGTAATAAAACACAACCCTCCCCCCTTCCTCTTCCTGTTTGGAGACTAATGGGAAAATAAGTCTCTGTGGGGTTTAGACAGTTTTGTAATTAGAACAACCACCTCCTGGCTTTTGGCAGTTTGACCTCTGTGACCGCGGTAGCTGTTTTCATCCTACTATGAATTCTCTTGTGTTTTTCAGTGTAAATAGTCACTTCAGCGAGAGATTCCCTTCCAAGATAATGAGCAGTAATTCTCATTTTCAAAAAGCACTCCTTGCCAGTCATGTAGATCATTTAAAGCTGGTATTTTTACAATAATCATGCAAATGGCATGATTAGTTTTAAATTCCAGCTAATCTGATTTTTATGAAAAATGTGTGCTTCTTGGGGTGCAGTGGTGGCGCAGTGGGCAGAGCGTGAGACCCACGTACAGAGGTCTCTGTCCTCGAGTCACTGCCACGGGTTCGAGTCACGGTCCATTGACCTTAGCCGCATGCCTTCTCCCTCTCTCATAATCCATTTTCCTATCAATCTACAGTGAAATAAAGGCCAACAAAACCAAAAATACCTATAAAAAAATTATGCTTTTTAGAATCTTGAAATTCTGTTTTTCATAGTTTTCTGCGTCAAGATGAAGTTTTCTCTCACTTAAAATGTTTCATGTGTTTGAAACAATGCTTCCTCCCTGACAAAAACTATTAGAATTGAGCATTAGATGTCTTGCTTTATTTTATGTTTTGTTTTGGAACATTTTCCTTTGTTTTGATGCTTTTTTTAATTATATTTGATGCTCTTATTACATTGGTTTGTTAAGAAGCCTGTCTCATTTCCTGTCAGAAACAAACTTCTTGGTTCATCTCAAATTATTTTACTTTCTGCCAGGCAATTATGTGGTGTGTCATTTTGCTGTGCAGGAAGTCTGACTTGGTTTCCATTATGTTACCATATTGTTGGAGTTCTGCTGACTTTTCTTAAGGTTATTTTTTCTTTTTTTTTTTGACTGAAGTAACCAAAACTTTTTGTTGACCTTCGATCTTGCAGTCTTTCTACAAACATATTCAGCTGTCACTCATCTGTGTAGGTAGACTCCCAGTTTCCTGCCTCCTGTCTAACAAAACACCCAGCTCACATAGGGGCCCAAAATTTTTTGCAATTTGGTGTTTTGTCACTTAATAGTGTCTGATTTTGTTATTTCTAAGCCAATGACCCCCCAATATGAAGATCAGAGCTCGTTGTTGATCTTACTTTCTGGCAGAGAATTTGTCATGTGAAAAACTCCAAACTGCCTATTGAAAGTGAAATAAACTGAAGAAATCTGTCATGTTAAAAACAAAAACAACGAAAACTTGCAAAGGAATATTTTCATAATGATTCAATGGATTTATTTATTTTGTTTGCACTTGTCTTTTGTGCAAGGTAAGGAAACGTTTAACAGCCTTATTCAACCAGGTTTTTGACAGTACGTAGCAACAGGTGGGGGAAGGGCACATCCACAACTCTGCATGCAGCAGAAGAAAACTGGTTACATTTCTGTGACATCTCATTAGAAGGACTTGAAACCAACAGAGCAGGTTGATGGATGTGCTGATACTCTAAAAACAAAAAAAATAATAATGATTTTGTATGCGGTCCAGTTGATCCCAGCTTTGGTGTGCCCTTTCCGAAGTTAAACTGATTGAAGAAACTGCTGAGTCCGTTTGTGGAGAGATGTGTGTGTGTGTGTGTGTGTGTGTGTGTGTGTGTGTGTGTGTGTGTGTGTGTGTGTGTGTGTGTGTGTGTGTGTGTGTGTGTGTGTGTGTGTGTGTGTGTGTGCGTGCGTGCGTGCGTGCCTGGGTGGGTGGGTGGGTGTGGGTGTGTGTGTGTCAATCTGTGGGTGGGATTCCCCCACCAGGAGAGCACAGATGGCCCCGTCCCAAAAACACAGGAAGCTGCAGGGTGGGTTTCGAGGCAGTGTTTTGCTCCAAGTGCAAAAGGACCGTGAGAACAAGTGTTTTCCATGCTATGCTTATGTTTGCAGCCATACAAGTGTAGAAAACTAAAACAAATATCCTTTTGCTCAAAGTTTTGCTGCAAATCCCAAAGGTTGCACTTATATCCACTTTTCATATATAACATGAATAATCTTATGTCAACCATGAATATAATTATATAAGAGGGAAATGGGGCTTTGCACAATTGAGGTGAAGAGGAAATGGTGACACCCTGAGAGGGAAAGAGAGGGAAGGGCTTTAGTTGCAGCCCTCTGAAACAAACACAAAGAGAGAGTTAGTGAGAGAGAGGGGGAGTACCTGGGAACATGAGAGAACCTGACTCAGGTTGCATCCAACAAAGACATTGTCAGAGCATACACAGGGGAAGAGCGAAGGACTGCAGCGATCGGAGCAAAGTGAAATCTAAGCAATGGAGGAGAGGAATGACCAGTGAGAAAGGGGGCCTGATGACCGATTATAAGGTTGAAAATATTTTTCTCAAACCAGAAGCTGAAGAGTGAAAGTTGGTGGAATATAAAAAAGATGTCCAAAACTCAGGAGTAAAATCTGGTGGTGTCACCTTTCATTCAACAGGTATCCAGATTTTCATTCTAACCAGAGGCAGATGGCTTGTTTGGCTTAAAGATGCAGAAAACTTTGGATTTTTATCAGAACTTTGATGTGAAACTTACCTGGCTGGCCTAAAAGCTCAAAAAGCTTTTTGATATATTTATGCACAGAAAATGCTAATAATGACCTGATTGCAGTCATGAGCTGCTCTTGAATATTGCAGTTTATTTTTATCACTAAAACAGACTATTATGGGCAGTTATTGCATGCTTTGATTTTAACCTGCTGTTTGTTTCCTTTCCGCATAGGACAACCTGAGTGTTTTTCTGCGAGGCTGTGAGGAGTTGGGACTTAAAGGGTCGCAGCTGTTTGACCCAGGAGATCTGCAGGACACATCCACACGTCCTGCTGCCAAGTAAGACTCAAAGCTTCATTGTTTTCTTTCCTACTGTCCTACATTTTTTGTTCCAGAGCCACTCATCCCAGAATAAACTACCTGAGGGACATTTAGTTTATCTTTTTTTAGTTCTATTTTTTTTTTTTTACAAAAAAGACACTTGACCTGTGTAAGCAGCCAATAAGGAATGTAGATGATGATTAATGTATTGGAATCACTGGTAATTATATGAAAAATACTTTAAATTAAATGAATCTTGTATAGTAATATATGACTAAATATAGTCATACATTTAGTAGGAGGAAAATACAATGTTAAGAAATAATTGTCTTTAACTAATGCACTTCTAGATTTAATGCTACTTTCAGTTTACATGAAATGTGTCTATCAGAAGAATTTTATCCCTGTATGACAAAAGGTTGTTTGGGGAACATGCCTGAAATGTACTGTTCAAAACACGTGAAGATGTAAAATTTGATGAATGCCTTTTAGACTTTACCTGAAGCTACATGCTTTGGTCAAATTAGACCATGATTGAGCTTTTCAGAAACAGTATTTGTTTCACATCAAATCATATGTGCAACAATGGATAAATATTTGAAAAAGAATCTGTGATGTTTGAGGTTGTTTGTCTTTGAAAGGCCGGAGAGCCATGGTAAAAGGCGTCATGGATCTCTGCAGTCCTGGATGATTTAAAAGTAAACTTCTGCTGGCCTCTGCCAGGAAACTGAATGAGGCATCACTGGATCTTTGAGCAGCAGAAGGATCAAAAACAGATAGGCAGTTCAACAATAAGTGTTGTGCAAAGCTTAAACTGCAGAGATACAAATAATTCTTCCACCAGTGATTTTCACAACATAATTATTTATTTATTTTTTGGTATGATAATTAATTAATGTGTTAATATTAAAGAAATTAAAAGGTGTTTCGACTGTCTTACTGCAACAAAACTGTTTCATCTTAAATTTTTATAGGTCTTTGTCAAGGATGCCAAAAAAATGTGTCTGTAACAGAAAATGAGCTGAGATCAAAATAAATGTTTTGACATCCTAATTGGCCAAACATTTACCTCAAATGTTCTCTGATTCTGAGATGCTGGTTACTCTTCCATGCTTTCAGGTTATGTTTGGAACTTTTCACAAAATCTCCGGGGTCAAGTATTGACTGCAATTTTAAACTTCTGTCTCTAATCTGGCATAAAAAGATGCTGGATTACCATACTCCTGGTAGTTACTTTTGTCCAAGTGGAAATAAAATTTCCACCTGGAAATTCCATTTCTAAACCACTGGAAGCAGCACAGGGTCACTGGAACAATGACTCTTAAGTTTCCTCTCTAATCCTGCAGACTTCTTTTTAGTTTTACAGAATTGAGAAATTAGCCAGACATAGAGATGCTTATTCCCAGTGTCATTTTAAAAGTTTGTGTTTTAAACACAAACTTGAATTTTTCAGACAGGGTTGCTTCACACAGAAGCAAACATTTTCTTTAACAACAGACTGGAGTTATTTATGAGGAAAAATTCAATAATTTTGTTTTATCTTGAATTATTTTTGGAAAAGCAACTAGAACTTTCTGACTTTGGATCTCTGCTGACTGTATTTATTGCTCACTTGATTGCAGCAAAATCTGATTTTCCAATATGGCAGTAAGCAGTCGCAGCCATTCAAACTGAAAATGTGCCAGTTCAGGTCACAAGCTGAGAATCAATAAATCATAGATAAAGGAATAGTCTCTGTTGTTGCTGTTAAATGTGGAAAATATCTATTTTATTCAGCTGAAGGACACATAGCACTTCAGCTGTATGTCAACAGAAAGCTTTTGTTAAACACTGATTGTGCTTTTCTTTCCCTGTTTCGTGCTGCCAGTCAGCCTGCATTAGACAATCATGCAGTTCACAGCAACATAAATTAGTAAATGACAGAGAATGGAAGTTTGGACAAGCCTGTCAATGCAGAAACAATGGGATGTCTGTTTGACACAACTGGTCTCTGTCAACGTACAACAAAAGGCTTTGCATCACTCACTCAGCCATGACTTCTGCTTTGTTGCTTGGTAACAAAACCAAGTACATGTTATGCTTTATACATGTAGTCTAAAGTATCTGTGTGAATGTGCAGGTGTTTCTCCGTGTGCTTGGCATGCTCTGTTCTGATGCTAAATGTATTTAACAGGGTTTCATTCACAGAAGGGTTTAGGAAGCTGCTTCTGCAGATCAGATGAGAGGATCAGAGCTAATCTTAGCTGGTGTCAGGAGCAGCTGCTTTAGGGATTCTGTCAGGATGAGGGAATCTTTGTATGTGTAGAAACTAATGTTTACATAGGTTTTATAACAAAACATGTTTGTAAATGTCACTTGTTTTTATTATTTGGAGATATTTACATCCACATGGCTGTAGCAATCCATTATTTGTCAGTTTGTATTTTACCAATAGTATAAAAATGAATAACTCATATTTTTACTTTACACATATATTTTACACATTTTCTAAACAAACTCATTTCATATAGAATTATACTAACAAATAACAATAGTAACTTCTGATTTGAAATTAGACCTCATGTGCTTTAACTTTTATGCAAGTAAAAGTAAAAGCAATTGATAGATATTGATCTTTATGAGAGATGCCTGCATATTTGTGTGAGTAAAGTACCTCTTATTAGCTGCTGCTGAAAGGCACTTAACCTAGGTATGCAAAGCTAGTAAAATCCAAGGAAACTTCAGGAACACAATCTACACTGGGGGACTCATGGGAATAAGGATCCTTATGCCTGACTAATTAATCAATTCTGTAAAACTTAAAAAAACAATGGAAGTCTGCAGCATTAAGTCAGATCTGAGGTGTCATTGTTCCAGTGACCTTGTGCTATTTCCAGTGGTTATGTAACCCTGCGTTGTTCAGTTTGCTGTTTACTTGTCCTTACGTGAAGGAGACACTGCTTCACTGAAGAAAATGACATTTGATCAAAGAACTGAAAAGGCAGATTCTGGTTCACCAAGTTCATCTCAGAACGTTCCTTGTATGACATATTTACAGAACAAAAGACAATAAACTCTGAATTAAATAAACTCTGAATTAAATAAACTCTGAATTAAATCTTTCACTCAACATTTAAGAACCAAATAGCTTTGAATAAACATTAATATAAAGTTTTCCACAGCAAACTTATACTGAGAACCCACAGTGGCCGTGTGTCAGATATAAATTATACTAAATACTCTCAGCATTTAGAGTACATTTAGAGTACGTTTTGTTTTACTAAAAAACAAAACAGTAAATACTTGAGCAAAGCCATACAAAAGGCCAGGAGCAGATGCAGCAGAAAATTTCAGTCTTGGAAATTATTCATGATAGTGAACATGGAGAGAGTAAAATGTACAAAATGTGAGACCCTTATGTGTGAATATTCTTATTAATTCTCTAATAGACCACATCTTATTAATTTACAAACACCTAACTGAAAAAAGTAATTCACAAATTTTCTTTTGAATGTCTTTTAAACACATCTGGATGCGTGGTAAAAATGTGCTTGAAGATAAAAATGATATGCATAAAGTATTGTTTGCCTTTACAATACATAAACAAAAGGAAATTAAAAACTCTACATCTCTGAAACCTTGTACAATTTTAAAATTTCTCCATAAAATTCCTGACTGACAAGGGACGTAATGTTACGGATGTATTCTTTTAACTGTTGCCTCTATGTGATCTAATGTCTTGTGGAATGTGAATTATTAGTGCATCATCTGAGTAATGGCAGAGAAAAAGCAGCGTGCCCTCATCTGTTCGACTGACAGCGAACCAGGTTGAACAAAAGAACAAGTGTTTATGGATCATTCCCTGCAGCTATGTCTCCTTCTTCCTCACCTTCAATCTCACTATTTGTTTCTTTGGTCTCTGGGAAACTCAAATACCTGCTATTTAGGTGTCAGTTACCTGCTGAGTGAGTTTGACCCTGGAGCCTACTTAGAAACATACTCATAATGTAGGAATTTGGTTATATCACCTCAACCCAGTATTCATCCTTAGTTATGGTTTGCTTTTTTTGTGCTTTTTTTTACCTCAAGCATGAAATGAATCTCTGTCTTCTGCAATTTCTTAACCCTTTGTAAATTGTGCACCTTTATTATTTTACGTGTGTTGTTGCTATTATTTATGTGTTGCAGCAACACAAAAAAACTTTGAAAAATGTTAATTGTGGAGAAATTACAATAAAATCTTAAAATTTAGCATTTTCAATAGTTTCTTATTTACTATGTTTGTTTTCATTTGGGATAATATAAATATAACTGGAATGTTTGGGAAAATATGAAAGATGCTTTTAGTATTTTTAGTACGGCTGCCTTCATACAGATAATATTTAACTTAATACTGATCAAAGTCATTTAAGACATGAGTCGATACCAAGTTCCAGTTCTATACTTTGTTAAAGTTTTTATTAAATAATGTATCAAAATTATTTTAAACTTGGAAACAAGTTGGAAGCTTTAACATGTAGTGGAATTGGATCAGTGCAACATCAGTGTCGTTCAGGATGCTGAATGTTGCATTTATGTTTTCTGTTTTCTCCAGAATGTCTTGCTCTCGAATGATCATAATAATGAAATAAGTAAATGTGTGTTTTCTTCTCTCAGCACCAGTGTCCCAACTGAAAAATATTGTCAGTATCACTTCATAGCACGATAAATTCACTGATCAAAAAGTAGATTTTTCAGCCATTCAACGTAAGGCTCATTAATCAATTACAAATTAGTCAGCATACCAAACTATTAAAATCAACCTAGATTAATGTTTGACCTTTTTACAGATAATTTTTTTTAGCACATTCAACAAAGAAGAGATTTTCTGCACGTTGGAAGTTTTTTCTTCACTTAACCTAAAGTTTAACAAGGACATTTGGCTAACTTAGAGAAAAGTATTTCCTGGAGGTAAATGACTAATGTGAGTCATTCTTGTTCACTATGGGGCTGATCAAGCTGAAAACAATCTGATTCTGATCATTAGCAATTTATCTGAGTGTTTATCTATTATTTCTCACTTATTGATTAAAACTGCTGAGTAAAAGGAGAAGTAACAGTACTAGTACATTAGTCCTGCCTGAAATCTGTGCAACCTATATTCCAATGTCTAAAACATCTCTGTCTTTTTCTCCAGGGGAAGCGACTGCAGCCGAAGGCTCAAGAATGTAAGTGTTGCCATTGGATTAGATTGTACTTTGTTTGTGAGCTAAATGTTTGATTGGTTTGGGAACTGGTATTTTGACATGCTGTCTGTTTGGACTCCTGTGACTGTCTTTGTTCCCGTCTTCCTTTTTCTGGTGAGTCTTATTAGGCTTGTTCAGTTTTATGGAGTTATTGTCTGTGTTGTTAGAAAACATTTCTTTCCTGCAGAAACAGGATTTTATTAACCTTACGTTCCGTGTTTATTATCTGCTCCAACATAGCTCTCTCTCTTTTTTATCTTTTAAATGGCACTTTAAGAAGCAGAAGGAGTTGTGTTAGCCCTGCCCACTCTGCAGTCAGCGCAGTTCCACTCGTTCTCCGTCCCTTCACTCTCTCTGTGATGCTGGTGTGCACTGAGCAAGTTCATGTGTGTGCCGTTGCAGAGCTCACCTCTCCTGCTGGCTCATTTAGCTGACTAAACACATTGAGTCTCTGCTGTGTTAGCCAGCATTTAGAGCTGCAAAGGAAATGATTCTCAAATTGGCAGTCGGTGATGGTTTAGCTGGGATCTGCTTGTGTGACGTGCACTGTGGATTCGCCTTGCATGCTGAAGACTGAGGACTAGGCTTGGACAGCGGCTGTCTCTGCAGCTCATCAAATATTAAGAGGTGAAGAACCTGCTGTGAGAAGAATCTGCTGATATGGTCATAAAGCTGTTTACCAAACAGATTTGATGTTACTTTGAAAAAAGGCTTCCTGGAGGAGTGGAATATCGCTGCAATGGTTATGTGCTTATTAAGCAGGAAAAATGTGAACAGCCAGTAGAGTGTTTTTTGTTTCTTTGTATTTGAAACCAGACTTAGTGTTGGTTAAAATATAAGTGCTCATGTGAATAGTTGTTCACATTCTAGTTATTTTTTTGTTTTTTGGTGCTTAGCGACCGTATCTTTCCACTAGATCCTCGTTGACAGGCCACATGTCACACCAGACAGCTGCTGAAACTGATGAGGTAAAGTAAGTGTGACAGTCATCTCTCGCTCAGGCCTCTTGTTGATTTTGCTGCCACTCAAAACTCCACTGACTCGTTTTAAGCAAATATTTCCTTTCACCTGGTGCTTTTCAGCGCTGATGTCGAAGTTTTGGTTTGACACAGTTGTCAGCATGTTGGTTTGGTGTTTCTTGTGTACATAATGCTGGAAATGACATATGATGCTTTCTACTATGGTTTTGTATTTGGGATCAATGTGGATCTATTTAGAGCTCAATAGTGAGCATGTGGAACACATTTGGTGGCGACCTACATTCATTGGCGATGTGCCCATTATGCTGGTGACACTGGAGTGCTGCACTTTGCTGCTAAGACAGCGACACGATACTTGTGATGAGGTTTAAAGGTCATCGTTTTTCACAAGTTTTCCTTTTCTGTTGCGTTTAGGCTTTTAGCTTATGATAGTTGGGTAGATAATACAATTTATTACCAAAACTGAGAAATGTATGAGGTGTATGAAAATAAATCAGAACAGCAGCCAATAATGCAGCCAAAAGTCATCAAAGACTTGTTGGGGAACTAACCTGCTGAACTGGTGCAAAACACATCCAAGGTAGAAATCAGTGGTATTATTGACTTCTACCCCAATTTGAGTTCTTAAATCAGAAGATTTGAGACCTTTCAGACTGGCATCCTGTGGAGAGATTTTAAAGTTCTGGCATTAGCCTAAAGAAACTTCATTGGGATAGGTGTCATACTCATTGTCTGTCTTGCTAATAAGAAGCCACACATAAATTCAACCTAATTTGTAAAATAAAATGTTTTTTTATAAAAATCACTGTTCATGTCCAATGTAGCAGTAGCTCCTCTAGATGAGATGCCATTCTCCACATATGGTACTCACCTCCTGTTTTTTCCTGTTTGTTTTATTTTCAATGCTGCTTTTTATTTGCTTAAAAAATGGTTTATTTATCTTTCAATATGTGTGTGTTTTATGACTCTAAAATTTGATACTTACCTGCTAAAGACAGCAATTTCTGAGTAGCACTGCTTATTTTGCTTGTTTATTTTTCTTAGCAGGGCCAGAAAAATTTTTTTAAAAAGTATTGTGCAATTTTATGGATCTGATCACCAAAAACAAGATTTAAAAAAATATCACTTCTTAAGCTTTTAATTAGTTCTTTTACAAATATTATGTTTTCCATGAGTGCCACTAAGTACTTTTGTCCTGTTACTCAAAATAAAGAAGTTGTTGCATTTAAAGTTCACTCAGGATCACAGCAAGCGACTCGTTTGGCGTCATGCTTCCATCCGTTCAGCAGGCCCAACCCTTTGCTTGTCCTCTCTGTGTATTTGAATGGGAGAAGCTGTTTACACTGACAGTGCAACTGCAATTACCACAGTAAGCCTGGCTGAGCCTTCTTATCAAAGCTGTCCCTGTGGAGTGCAGGTTGACATGGACACTGTAAATATAGCTGGAATCACCCCGCCAACAGTGCTAAAGGTGCAGCCCTGTGTGATGTCAGCCTCAGTCTGTACATTCTGCATTTTACACATTAAGCTGAATGCAAAGAAACTTCCAATGAGTGCCGTAAGCTTTGTTTCCTCTTTCACGCTCAGTGGAACCTTGGATCATTGGGTTGCAAATGGTCCAACTAAATAGCAGAGTAATCCAGCTGCTTGTTCTGTAATATTTCTGTAGTCTAAGGGAGGCAAAACTGACCCAATAATTTATTCAGTAAATCACAGTGGCCAAGTCAAAGGTCAGTATATGAGTCAGAGACCTGAGTGTGACTTACCTGAACTGCTGAAACAGTGCGATTTTTGATCATTTTAACAAATCTGCAGTGGACATTTTTTTATTATTTACAGTATACTGGGAGTAAATACTGTATATTTGACTCATTTGATATCTGCCAAGAGGAGAGTATTGAAAGCTCTGTTGGTTTGATCAGGCATATCAATCTGCTGTATTGTATGTGTGTTCCATGTTTACATCAACCCAACAAACCAAATGTCACTTGAGTATTGTGATAATTTTATCCATTTCTGCCCTGCAGGTTTTAATCACCATCTACTGGCTCGGTCGTGCTGCCAACAGCTGCACCTCCTACAACGGGCCCACGCTGGACCTAAAAGAGTTTGAGGGATTGCTGTCACAAATGCGAAAGGTCTTTAAAGTCATTTTAATGAGAAATTATGTTTTTCAGTTTTTTATTACATTGATGTATTGTTTATCTCAGTATGAGAAATTTTGCGTCTAACCAGTACGGCCATAAATGAGAAACAGCAGTCTCTGCTTTGTCACTTGATTCAGGAATCAGTAATGTTTTTGGATGTCTTGATGTCAGGAAATATTTGAGAAATGATCTCAGAGAGATGATAGCATCATCAACCTGAGGTCCAGTCATGACCTTCATAAACTTGATTTCCATGGAAATCCTGCTGTTGCTGTCCAGAAGGACGGAGTATTGTTGGACCTGGTTTTACAAATTTTTCTGTGACAATCATTCATAGCCATGATGTCACCCTGCACAACATTTCTTCCACATTGTCACATCATTTCACTATCTATTAAACAGATGAATTACTGCCAAGTCAGAAGAATTAGCTTTCCAGATGTTCATATGTTGCATATGGACAAAACAAAACCTTTTTTTCCAATAAATAAAATACTGGAATAACAGGGGAGCACAATAAAACTGCAAAATCAATTCATTTCTGATTGGCAGCACATTATATATACTCAGTGTTTCCATTATTTATTAAAGCTGAGTGAAAAGCCTCAAGCAGGTGAATCTGACTGCACCAGAAGGAAAGAAGCCCTGGTCATTCTTATTTGGCCAAAACAAATAAAGAATATGTCACTGTCAAACACAATTCCCACCCGCTGTAGAACATTCAAGAATACAGAGATTTATGCAAGGCTGGAGAAGCTATAGCAACGCGTTATGGGGTCAGAAAAAGGAAGCCATTTGGTTGACAGGAAAGGTCTTTCTCCACCTTCCATTAGTACCAAAGACACTATTCAGCTGTCGGCAGAAAAAGGAGAAGGTCACTAAGGTGAAGAGAGAGTAATGAGAAAGGATGTAGGCAGAAGATAATGAGGATATTTTGAAAAGGTTGTTGACTAAACAAATGTGGGAGGACTGTGGAGTTATTTGAGAGGTTTCAAAATCTAAAGAACAAAATTTAGATGTTGGATTTATTTCAATAAATTGGATTAAATTATATTTGTTTCACCCATTTTTGTAGTTCACATTTTAGAAAACAAAAAACCTGATTGTGTTTTTCCGATTTCCTCAAACGTAGGAGGCAGAGGTGGCAGAAAGTCCTCAACGCAGCATTCGGGACAGCGGCTACATCGACTGCTGGGACTCCGAACGCAGTGACTCGCTCTCCCCGCCACGCCACGGACGCGAAGATTCATTCGACAGTCTGGACTCCTTCGGCTCGCGCTCGCAACAGACTCCGTCGCCGGATGTCCTGGTCCCACGCGGCAGCAGTGATGGTAGGATATCATTCATCTCTCTTTATTTAGAATTTTTGCATACAATGAACCACTGGTGCTCTGGCGGGCTAGAGTTCCCGCTAGCTACTAACTATTGTAATGAAAAGCCAAAATATGTCAAGACTTCAGATCCTGTCTAAAAATGCTTAGAACTTTCTATATTAAACTCAAAATATGTTTTAATATTCATAGTGGAATCTGTCTTGGCACTACCGCAGAAGCTGAGTCTCCCTTCTCTCCTCTTCTGGGGCCAAAAGCAAAACTATATAAGGGGGCAAATACACATAGTAACCTTTGCATCAAAGCAGCTTTTATTGTTTTTGCTGAAATTGCAAAATGTGTTAAAGTTTTTTTATGATGCCAAACTAAACCATCTGCTGTAGCTAACAGCTGTTCACTGCTACACTGTTTGCTAATTAGTGCCTTTTAAAGTTAACAGCAGCTTATAAAAGCCTGTAGTAGTCGTCATGATGTTATTTCTGTTGCCAAACTGCATGAGCGACAATTCAGAACAACACGTAGCTTCCTGTTTGTTTCTCCTTCTAGGAAGAACAAAGATAAATTGCTCCCATCAGACTCGAGTTCTCTAAATGTGCCATACTTCTTGATAAGTTTAACTAAAAAAAATAAAAATACACACTGTCTCCATCAAGTAAAAAGACAGAATAGGAGGTTTGTAATCTTACAAATTTAAAGGCAAAAAATGACACACAGAAATCCTTGATCAATATGAGAGATGATGTTTTTATCCTGTTAGGCTGCTGCAGTAAATCTCATTGCTAGACTGCCCTGAAGAATCATCTCAAGGATTTTACTGCACAAGTTTCTTCTAATCAATTTTTCTGAGCATGAAGCTCAAGATGATATTTTATTCTGTCAAGCATATTCCCCAACACCAGAGTTTCAAATTTTTGTGATAGCTGATGAAGTACAAGGAAGCAGAATTTGTTCCTGAGAAACTACATAAAATTACTTTACCTAATTGCAGCTGTGTAACAGGTATTTCAATGCTCGGGGTATTTTATCAAAAAATGTACATGTTCCTTAACACACAAATCTTCAAAAATGTAGATGTAATTGAATGAAAAAATTAAGTGACTAGAAGAAGAGAAGCGTATATCTGTGATCACCCAGTTGCATGAAACCTTGGCTCACTGTGAACAAATGCATCCATTTACCAACATTCATACAAACGTGCCAGGATTTCCTACCATGACCTTCAGACAAAGCCCTTGGTTTATTCATCAATGAAAATTGACTTCAGCCTGAGTAATTAGGGGACAGATGGAAGAGTTTAATTCATTCTTTGAATGAAATTCAATATTGGCAACATGGTTTTGTCTCTGCCAACTTTGATTCAGCTCTGATACATGAGATTGTTTTTGGGTAGCTTGCATAATACAATTTTATCTAATTCCCTCATGTAGATTATAGGAAATCTATTCAGTTAAGCAATTAAACCTTATGCTCTGAACAAATATTTGAAATCTGAAAAACAGCATTTCAGAAGAGATTTGATCCCTGGTTTCATTATATTTAATATTTGTGCACATTTCTGAAATCAGTTTTTCACTCTTGCTGAATTGTTCAATTTGTTAAGTGTTACATAATGGAAATTGATGTTAATACCCAATTTTTGGCTGCTATAAATACTCATCCTGCAGACAAAATTAATATCTGGAATCATTTAATTCCACATCATCGGCCTTAGTTGTGAAAAGTTCAATCACTCTTTATTTGTGGACTTTCCATCATTTCAGTTGCTGCATTTCAGACACTGATGTTTGTAATCTGGTACATCGTAGCACTGACGCATGAAACATTTTCCCTCAAGCCTCAGTGTTACCATATCTACAGAGCACATCATCACATAAAAACATATGTTACTCCTTAAAGATGGATTTACATAGATGAAAGGGACACTCATGTTTCCTATTGATGGGTTAGGAGTCATAACCAAATCATTTACAGTTGGAAGTATGGATATCTCCAGGCCTTTTTGTTTGGAGCTTCATCTGTTTCAGACCAGAACTTTTCACAACTGTAATGTGACATTTATTTCCACTAACAGACACGGCTGCTTCCATATGTTTCTGATCAGAAATAAAGAACTATTTTATGGATCAAATCTGGTGAAAGTTTTGTGTTTATAGTTAGGAAATGTTTACACTGAGTCGTAGCTCACAGTCTGAACACAACAGCACTCGAAATGAAGAGTCAGTGGCACAAGTTTGTCTAAGCTACCACAGGTATCTATTTTACACTACTGATTTATTGGAGAGGTTTTAAAATAAATGAACAAGGAACCTACTGGTATGCCAGGAGTAAATTACAGAAATTACACATGTGACTATTTCTAAGAACCTGATTTTCATTCCTCTCCTCTGCGTATTATTCAAGGATTGAATTAGGACATATTGTGGAGGAATTTACCCCACGCATTAGGGAAAGTCCATGAGCAGTGCACGTCTGCAAAGCCAGGTGTTGAGAACATTAAAGACCCTGACGTGGGTTTAAACTGTGAAAGGGAGACAAATTGGTATCCAGAGTGAAATGCTAAAATGTCGTAAACTGTTCAATGTTAATTTAGTAATGATTTATGTTACTGTCTTTGTTTCATAAACACAGCCTATCAGCCTGTATGGGCTTGGCTGATGCTCAGTCGATGGAATGCATTGTATTTTATTACACTGTACGATTGCTGTAAGGCTCATAACGTTTACGAACTGAAGACTATAAACTGTAGATTTAAAGAAATGGTTTTTCAGACATCTGCCACAATTGCAAGTCTCTTCTTAAAATAATTTTACACCTTTGTTTTCCCCCCTTTGGTCTGTTCACAGTTTTCCTTGTCAGTGGCTGAGCTAGCTGTTTTCTACTGTTTACAAGATACCCAAATTAAACAAGACCTAGAAATGTGTTACTGTATCTGATTTAAATTATACTGGTAAAAATATTGCATACTGTTTTAATCATATTTCATTTTGTCTATTTTCCGTGATAGGCTAACACAAAGTAGCATTGGTTGGTTTTCTTGTTTTTTTTTTTTTTTTTTGTATTTTTTTGTTTGTTTGTTTGGTTTTGTAAAAAAAAAAAATCTGAAATGATTGTATCTTTTTTGTAATTGAGTTGAAGTGATTAAAAATCTACAGCGTGTAGTATCTACTCGTATGTAGAGAATAGAAACGGTTGGAAATATTTGCCTTCATTCCAGTCGAACAAGATTTGGTTAGAAAAGTCTTGCTTTAGATTCTCATCTGAATTCGGGTCTGGACTGGAACTGGTCCATTCTAACACGTTCATATTATTTAATCTGAACCGTTCATATGTCAGCTCTGGCTGTAAAGTTTGGTCTGCTGGGAGGTGACCTTCTACCTTTCAAAGGTTTTTATTAAGTTTTTTTATTAGTTCTGACAAGCTGACAAATACATTTTTTAATGTAATACAACAAAATGTGAACAAGTTCTTAGGATATGAAGCCTTTTACGAGGTGCTTAAAACAGATTAACAGTTAAGATTATACTCCAAAATAACACTGATAATGAGGACAATCTGTTATGAATTTAAATATCTGATTCAATAATGCATGTTTTCCAATAATTTACTTGTAATTATAGTTTGCAGCTCTTCATTGCATAAGAATAATGGGAATCAGCCTTCAAGCATTTTGTAACTCTGCTGAATCATCCAGTTTTTTATTTTTTTATTTTTTTCTCTAGCCTTTCAGTCTGATGTCTGCTGAGGCCTGGGAAAAAACTAGAACAAATATGTCCCTCACCTTTACATGAAAATAAAAATCTTTTAATTTGCTAGTCTCCGGAAATTAGATTAAATCCTTATTCAGCAGTGAACAACTACTTTCTGTGTGAAAATAAATGAAGTAGAATGGCCAGTATTTTCCACAATGAGAGAGATTATCATTATACAACACTAATAAAGATCTTTTTTTGTACCTCTATGGCTCACGTTAGGCCGCGGCAGTGACTCAGAGTCCGACGGCACCCCTAACAGGAAGATGCCGGACCTCCACAAGGACGACATGTTGGCGCGCCGGACATCAGTCACTGAGCTGCGCACCGCCATGCCTTTCAACCAGTACCTCCCCAACAGGAGCAACCAGAGTGGATACGTGCCAGCTCCGCTTCGCAAGAAGAAGAACGAAAAGGAGGAGGGAGGCCACAAGAGCTGGAGTACCGCTACATCACCTGTAGGGGGAGGCAGACCCTGTAGGTGAGTCACGAAACGATGAAAAGAAAAGGTTAAAATAAACCGATGAAAAATAACACCTTCACTGATACTCTTGTTTGTTTAGTTTCATTGTTTTAATTTAATGAGGTTATAAATATAAATCATCAAAATATGAGTTAGAGTAGATGGAGCTAAAATAAAAAGTTTTTTTTATTTTTTTTATTTGGATCAGACACCATGTGCCAATGTACATATTTCTGATATGAAACCTTTTAGCCACTGATTATTTTTCTCCATCTCATATTGTTCTGATGGGAGTGCCTGATCGAGGCCAGATGTGTGTTTTCGTTGGCCCTCATTGAACCATGCTGCTCAGTTCTGAAGGGCTTATTGGGTATATATTGGTATGGCATGTTAATGTTAGGGAGAGCAATGTTCAGACTTTTCATCGCAAGTTTTACGTTTCTGCTTGCTCAGTAAATTCTTTCACATTTTTCTCTTCACTAACTATTGGGTCTGTATGTGTCATCGCTTCAGAGGTTGACTGAACTTGCATCAGTCACTTTAGTTTTATTAAGAGATAAATTGCAGATAATTAACTCAAAGCCACTTTGTTTGACAATTAGTCTTATACATTGTTCTGGTTTCCATCATCACTCATTGTTTGCTGCTAAAATGTTTTTTTGTTTTTTTTTAATCAACTTATGTGGTCTCACAACTGTGCATTAAATATGTTTTCCTTTCATGTTTTACCTCTTGTCTTTTCCTGCCTTTAATTGTTCACGTTTCACGTCTTGTGATCATCACACCATAATCCTCTTCATGTCACCAATTTTCCTCCAACCTGATTATGTGCTCCTGATTTTTCCTCTGTGTGGGGTAAATGATATAATAGTACAAATGGAATCCCTGTTTTAGTACTCCCACTCGGAGAGTCCCTCAGCCCTTCTCCCTCCCCAACCATCGAGTCACAGATTCAGGAGAGCAAGAGTAAAGATGAAGAGGAGAAGGAGAAGGAGGAAAAGCTGAAGGTCTTCTCACCTTGCATTAATATCCATGCAGTGGGAATACGGAGGAGCAGCGAGCCTCCCAGAGACACCATAACTCAGCTGAAGGTCAACTCTGAGCAAAGGTCAAATTCCATGTCCAACTTCTCTTTCCTAGACAGGATTCAAAGAAGTGTTTCCCATAAATCTCTTAAAGAGTTGTTGTTTCTTGTATCTTCTGAGAAAGAAATAGTCTTACATCTGGGATGCCCAAGTCGATCCTCGAGGGCCGGCATTCTCCATGTTTTAGTTCTCTCCCTGGGGGAAGTAACAATCTTTTCAGCATGTCAGTCTCCTTCTTAGACCTTCTAATAAGCCATCATTGGATCCAGGTGCGTTAAACCAGGGAGAGAACTAAAACATGCAGGATGCTGACCCTTGAGGACCAACTTTGGGAACCACTGTCTTACATAGTATCTCAGTTCTCTCAGAAAATTTGGTTCTGTTCGGAGAAATATCCTTTCTCTAGCTAGGTTCTTGATGCATGAGGTTGAAGAAGAGTCAGTGAGTTGAATTCATGAAATCCATTTATTAATACTAAAATACAGCTGGTCCAGTTGTTTATGCTATTCTTTGTTAGCCTCTATCTAAACTATGCCCTATAGATAGCATTCTCTAGTCTAATGTGTCATTTCTTTTAGTTTTAGCTTTGCACACATGTGACCTATGTGAATGCATGGATGTGTATATGAGCATACAAATAGCTAAATGAGATGGAGGAAAACAGAATTGTTATTTATTCTCAACATTTCTAAAACTATTTAAAAGTAATCACAAGAGTTTTCCTTGTGTTTGAATTTGCATTCATTCATTCAGCAGTTTTCAGAACCACCTTCAGCAGAATTTACTGTCTTTATTGGAATCACATATTTATGGAGGCAGTCTGGGTCAACTCTTTCCAATATGACTTACTTTCCTAACAAGTCATGTACAGCATTGCTGCTGTACATTTCAGCAACAATGCACCTGGAGTGCTTTATATAATAAGACATAACTAAGAAAGAAAAAGAGAAACATTACATTACAGTGACATAATAAACAGAAGTTATGAAATGTTTAATCCAGACGAGAATTAATGAATGTTCCAGTTGTTATTGATCAAAGATACCTCTAAGCAAATGAAGTTTTTGCCTTAATATGAAGGAACTCTGTGTTTTAGCAGTTCTACAGTTTTCTGGACGTTTGTTCCAGATTAAAGAAGCATACAACTGTAAGTGAGTTTGTAAATTCAGGAATAATAAGTGCTCAAATTGCATACAAGTTCATTTGATTGCATATTATTTTCTGAAACCTTCTTACTACCAACTACTTTCTATGAGAGGAAAGATTAGGAAACCTGATGGAACTGATATCGTTCCATCATGTGAAAGATTTTGGTTATTTCAACTGAGTATTATCTTAATAGTGTCAGTTTCTTTCCATCGGAATATCTCTCCTCCATTCATTTTAATTGTCAATAGATGCCACATTTTCTGAAATGATGCTCAAGGTTATTCATAAACATAACGATGAATGGTTCTCATCCTTAGAAAACAGTTCCAATGTTACAGCTGGTGCTTTAATCTGACCCTTTTACACTTTGGCACTGTAATTATCAGATGAGATTTTACACCATCGCTCCTTTTCAACAGCTTAACTGTAAGCTAACAAGGCTTGTGCCAATTCAAAGCTGGTTAGGACACACTGTCCTGAACTGCCTTTCCTTTATTGAACCAGATTAAGTGTGCACCCAGCTGGCCACCCAAGTTTTAAGTAAGGGGATCTTTGTCAGTTGTCAAGGCTCAACGCCGATTTTTATATTTCAGTTCTCATCATTTCTTGCTTGTTCTAGAATTGGCAGTATTTATTACTTGAGAATTTAATTTTAAGCCTTAGGTTATATCATAATCCAGCCTTATCCTGTGTTTTTGTAGTTTTTTTTTTCTAGAAAGTTCAACATTTCATTCAGTCCTGTTGGTTTGTTATTGTGAGTCACATCTCCCATTTTCCCTTTTGTTTTCTTCAATTTGGCGCAGTTGTTATAGCTTTGATTGATTCTCAACATTTTAAGAATGTGTGTTTTTCAAAGGTCCTGCAGGATTCAAGGATTTTATGCAAAGCTCCTACATGAAGCTCTTGGCATAGATATTTACATTTGAACACGTTTAGTTTCACAGCAGATTTAAAGTCTTTTTTTTTTTCGTTGTTGTTGCTGCTTTCTTTTCTTGTCACTCATGGTTTTACCAAAAGTAGATGAATTGAAAATGGTTTCATATTACTTAAACTTTTTCACACTTAGCCTTTTTACAATCATTAACAGAATATTTTTGGTATTTTACATATATGGCCAACACAAAGTAGTACATAATTGTCAAATGTAAGAATAATTTTGCAGAATTTTAATTTTTTTCTTTTGAAAAATACAAATCAGAAAAGTGAGCTATTCATATGACTCTGACATCCAGAAATATCCATAGTAACAAAGATTGCTTTAGGAATTGTAATTTAATTTCAGTATAAATGCACATGGTGGTGTCAGCATCATTCTGTAAGAAATTTTTATTAGACAAATGGAGTTAAACACAGGACAATCAAGGCACAGGTTTTCCTTCCACTTAAAACATATAGCCAGATCTATAATGAAATGGTCTAGTCAAAGTCCAAATCTTTATCTAGTTCAGAATGAGTGGCAAGACTTGAAAATTGAAGTTTATGGATGTTCTCCATCCAATCATATGGTGCTTAAGTTATTTTAAGAGGAAGACTGAGGTGAAATTTCAGGTTGTAGATAAGGTGGTAGAGACAAATCCCAAAATATATGCAACAGTAGCTAAAGGTGTTCTCAATGTATTGGCTCACAAGGGGCTGCAAAGCGTGAAAAGGTTTGGAGTGGATATAAATGTGTTTTCAGGGCATGTGTTGGTAATAACATTTTCAAGAATCAAAAGAAAATATTTCCCCTGTACATTCCAGTAGATTAGTTTTAATCTTTTCATTAAAAACAACCATCAAAGAAACATGTGTGCACATTTAAACAACGGGCCATACACACAAAACTGTCCCACATGTGTACATGTATCAAAACATACTCAAAACCAGCCTGCACATGTGACCTGCCCTCAGGATGTGAGGAAATGAAGTCTTCTTCCGTCCCTGACCCCGAGCAGATTGGGACTGAATGCCGTTCTTCTCCCTGCCAGCAGCTGGCCATTTTCTCTCTGCATGCTGTAGTTTATTCAGGCCAGTAAAAACTACCAACAAAGCAGCTGATCACAAAGCGGTGACAAAACAATAAAAAGACTTGAAGCGTTTTTGGGTTTGGCTGTTTTTGCCCCCAGCTGCTCTAAACAGATCTGTTAGCATGCTGTGTCTCCTCTGATTTATGACCTCACAACCGTTCCACATTCAGGCTGCTCCAGAGGAATGTTGTCTGATTATATAGGGAGATACGAGGGAGCCAAGTGCTTCAGTTTGCTTTGCTTTCTGCAGTATTCCAGCTCGCTCGTGCTCAGAGGAACTCTTCCAGTACTTGGCAGCTGTGTCACCCAGCGCTACCAGCCGTACTGGGAAACGTCCGACCGCGACGGACCAGGAGGATGCGGGATGTGCAGGTGCAGATGAAGATGATAAACGGGCCTGTCGAATGCTGACCTCACCCAAATATGCTTCCTCTGAGTTCCTTCCTGTGCCCACTGTCATGGCAACCACTTTAGCAGCTGCAGGAGCAACCGATGCAGGCGGATTGAAGGGAAGGAGTGACGGAGAAGAAGCAAAGGAAGAGAAATCTTGTTTGGGTCGTTGTCTTCCAGCAACGTGAGCCGAGTCATTTTATCAAACTCTGATGCTTTGGGCTCCAACTCCTTGATTTGCCTATTACTTGAAGGATCTGTCAGTCCGATGATCCTGGAGTGCACTCTCTATCAGCATGATGTTGACCTTAGTGTGCACTGCTTTGAAGGGATGATGATCTAAATAGTGCATGATATTATCTGCATAAACTGAGATTAAAAACGCTGTTCTAAATGATTAAACATTCATACAATGCATGAAAATGTGAAAATAATTTCAAATTTTCTTGCTTTTTTGCTTAAAGAAGCAGACAAGGATGCTGCTTTTTTTGTTGTTTTTTGAGGTCATCCAATTGGGGAAATAATTGATTAATTTATTGTACATTGATACACATGGAACTATTTTGAGACGTATTCCAGGTAGATGTCCTACCAAAATCTTTTGGTAGATTGATGTTTTTCTGGAGAATACCATGTGGTAAACAGATGCTGCAGAAAACAATCTGGGTTTGGTTTTGAGATTACTCTCTAAATTTAGTTTCCCCTGACCACAAGCCACACTTTCTTTCACACCACTTCAACATAACAGCTGCAGCTGCATTTTAAAAAAGAGAAGAGAGAAACGTTATGGTTATAGTCGAGTTCATAAGTGGTCACTGAGAGGAACTTTTAAGCTGCTCGTGCTGATTAAAGATGCATTAGTTTTCTTTCATTAGCTTCTCTTTGCGAAATGCATCTTTTCTTTTTGCTCTTTGTTTTGTTTTGCTTTGCAGTGCTGCAATTCTATTTGTATGTTTGATAACACTGCCCTCTTGTGTTTGGTTTATATTTTTAATATAAGATAATTTACTAAACAAACCATTACGTAATCCTCCTTTTTCTAAATTGGAATATTATCATCTGTTACCTGTCATTTAACACTCAGACATTTAATTTTTTGTATATTTGCGTGAGAAAATATTTCTTTCTTCAGTGTTGTGTTCATTGGTCATTGTTGTCTTTTCATGCTCACTATGTTTTCAGCCGCTGTGATAATTTTTCAGATGAGCCACAGTAAGTTGCACTTTCAACAGTTGAATGCTTCCAGTTTGTGACTCTTTCCATTTCTTATTTATTGCCAGAACTGATTTTTTATTGTGAATGGGCTGGAGTTTTTTTTTTTTCTTCCTTTTCTTCAAGCATTTTGAGTCTTACTGATTTCACTTTAACTCTTTCCACACATTCTTCCAGATGTTATTGTAAAAATAACATCTGGACACAGATAAAGGGTTCAGGTTAGGATATTTTTGTACATATTTATTCATTGTAATAACATTTTTTCCCTTTTGTCCGTCTATTAGATTAATAGACTGTGCAAACATTTGTACCCTTAGCTGGATTGAAAAAAAATCACAATATTTAGAGCTATATCAAGCAAAATTTGGATGCAGCAATACAAAAATTGTTTTTCTATAATCAACAGCAGAATACCTGTGTGCTGTTTTTCCTTTGCATTTTCCAGAGATGAGGGTTAAGGGGTTCAATAAATTAGCTAAAATGCAACATTGTGTCAGAATATAGAGTTACTGTTAAACAGAGTTTTACTGCTTAAAAACTGAGTCACAAACATTTACCATTATGGTGACAATAATTTAGCTTATTTGAATGAGGTAGAACTAAACTGGTGGAGCCAATAGGCAACTTCAGATTGTTTCACTTCAATCACAAATCGTAACTTCAAACTGTAAGTTTACTGTTTGGACTAAATCAGTCTGGACAGTAAAACTGCTTTGCTGTGATAAAAAATGATGACCATATGCATTCTCTTGTGGCCTGTGATTCATGTTTTGCTGTGGAACGGACTTGGCTCATCCCTCGCGCTTCAGCCAGTTGCATGTCTTGCCTTCTGCTGCTGGATTCAGAGAATTTATTTTCAGATGAAAGCTTATAAAACAAAATCTTTTTGCTGTGAGTTAAAGAATCAGCACAAATGTTTGGTTCATAAAAGAAGGCTGGCTTTCCTTTACGCTGGCTGCTCCTGTTTTGGGGGTCTCAAAGGCAAATACCAGGTAACATTGTAGATTTGAACAGAAAATGATGTGAAAAAAAAACTCTTCAAACTTTTCAGATGAAGCTAAAAAAAACTGAATTCTGCAACTGTTGAGTGGTTTCTGAATAAAACAATATCATTTCATAATACTGAAGCCATGTTTCTCCATTATGCACCTTTAGGAGTTTGAGTATGATCGACATGCGTGGTGAAAACGAGGCCATCCTGCAGCCGCACAGTCACATTCGACATGAGCTGATGCACAACCAGTACAACAGAATAAAAGAAGATGAGAATCACTGGCAGGAAGTAAATGCATTAGTTTCCTCTCTTTTCACTATTTTGTCTGCAAGTTTGCAGAAATATTTGTTCCTTCAAGCTGCTGGGCATGTTTTATCTGATCTCTATTTCCTTTACTTATTTATTTTTTTGCACCTGTCAGGACCTGGCTCGTTGGAAAAGTAGGAGGAGGAGTGTCTCTCAGGATCTGATAAAAAAAGAGGAGGAGAGGAAAATGATGGAGCAACTGATGTCAGGAGACCGCTGCATCTCTCAAAGAAGAAAAAGCATCAAAACCTACAGAGAAATTGTGGAGGACAAGTAGGTGATGTCCACAACACATTGAACACTTTGGTATCTGAACAAAATCCAAAGTGATAAACACACCCACATGTGAAAAACCTTTCATTTGCTGTAATATGAGCTTCACACATTCAGGTGAATTTGACTTAAGGTCATCACTTAAAAATCAACATAAAGAAAGCTGCAGTTTATAACTTTCCTTAAAGAAAAGTCACATATTTGTTAAAACCGTCACAATGTAGTGACAAGTAATCTGTGAAAAAAAATCTATCACTTCCACTCCTCCTGAATTGCTGTCTAAAGAAATGCACTGCTCCCGAACCAAACAATCAGTCAGAGCCAAGAGGAGGTTCTTAGTGGTGTCAATCATTCCCATGTACTCGTTGCTCAATGTGCTAACGGCTGAGAAACAGCCTACCTTTACAGCAAAACCGCCATCATCAGTGACCATGCTGACTTCCCTTAGCATTCCTGTCAGGTTCTGCTATCAGGAAGAAACTGCAGCCTCTGCTACACGGAGGGTGATTGGCAGCACTATGACTATACTCCTGGTTCTTTTTAGTTGGCACTGGGAGAAGGGAGATTAACTTTTTTGTTTTACATTGCTCATCTGTTACATACCACACTGTCACAACATAATGACAGTTTTAATAAATATGTAAAAAAATATATATTTTTTAGAAAAGTTACATACTGTAGCTTTAATGCTTTCCATAACAAGTAAAGAAAATAATGACAATAAGATGAAAGATGTTTGTTTTGCCTCTGAATGACAAATTTATTTTAGTCAGCCTGACAATGTCTGCCTTTTGTCAGGGAGCGGCGTGAGGAGGAGCTGCGGGATGCGTACCGGAAAGCAAGAACTCCAGAGGAGGCGTCGGCCATCCTCCAGCGCTACGCCCAGCGTTTCTCCATCAGCGAGGCCGTCTTGGAGCGCCTTCAGCTGCCCAAGCTTCTGGACCGCAGCTTGTCGGCCGACCCTTCCTTTTCCACCTCGCCCTTCTCCCTCTCGCTCTCCTCCTCCCCCACAACTCCGGACCCTTTCGACGAGGCGCCCGAAGGGCCTCTTAGGTACCTGCGGCAGCAATCTGCGCCGGCGCCACGGTTTACATCCACACTGGAGGCGCAGATTGAAGAGTTTCCCAAAGACTCAAGCTCACACCAGCGGCCTCAGATCCGCTCTCGCTCTTCTGAACCACCGTCCACCCGGGCCCTGTCACCCAAACCGGTGCCTTTGCTGACACCAAAGCCTTACTTTCAGCCCCAACTGTCATCTAATGAAAATTGGAATGGCAAGGTGAGAATTACTTGCAAAGATTAGCTAAGTAGCATTTAGCTGTTGCAAATCTGCAACATCTGCCTGGAGAGGGTTAACATTACATTTAAAAGAACCTTAAAAAAATGTTAACTACTGCTTTCAAACTATTCATCTTGACCTCTCTTAAACTGTCTAAAATTTAGACTCTAAATTATTTTCAAAATTACGTTAAAGCTCTGATAAAATGTAAATATTAAAATGTTCTGGGTAGAAAATATTTACAGACAAAGGATTTTGTTGTTATCTTAAATGCAAAATTTGTTAATTTTTTTGTAAAGTCTTGGCTAAATTACTTCTCGAGTGTGTTGTTGCTTAAGTGAATGGCCTTTTTCTTAATGATTAATCAACTGCTATATTAGTTAATGATCACTAATATTTTGCATCATAAAAGAAATCCGGCATTTTCACATTAGAAGGTAACCTATAGATGAGCCACTGTATTCTTCCCTTCTGAGATCTTTTAACATTTACATTACAATGTCACAGAACAACCATTGTGATGACTGACTGGTGTGTATGAAAACCGAAAACCTCCCCTCCCTTTAGAAGTGTGTAATGTTCCAATTTCACCCTCAAAGGATCCATTCCCCTTTCTTCTGGCAAAAAATGAGCAAAAGGGAATATTTAAAATGAGCTCTTGCATTGCGGAGTGGTTTAAAGGGAGATGTAAGGCATTACCAGATCCAAATGCAGCAGAGCACTTTTTCTGGAATTTCTTGCCAGGAGTCCCATCTTGAATGGAGCCCTCTGTTCGCTATTGACTTAAGAAGTTGACAAGTAGGACCCCTCTCAATGTGAAGTGGGCTCCCAGCGGACAATGAGTGTCCACACAGGCTGCAAGGACAGGGATGAGGAGGTGGAGGAAGAGGGGGCCGACTGAGAGACTGCATTCAGCCGACTCCGGCACCGTGTCTTAAGTTACCGCTCACTGGGAGCTCCTCACACATATATTAGTGCTTCTTTGTGGCAGAGGCCAGCAGGGTGTTTTCAGCAGATGAACAGATAATAACTAACAGAAGCAAAGTTCATAATGAGAAGGAATGAGGGATTTTATACTTTAATTATTTAAAGTTTTTATTTGTCATAAATTGATAATTTTTTTAGCTGCGAAAAGCCACCAGAAAAATACACTGTGCTAAAAAGTAATTTAACTTTTTCAGAGTCTACCTTTTTTTATCTCAAAATTAAACCTATTTAATTGGGATTTTGTGTAACTTAAAATCATTGTGTGGCTGTTAAATGTGAAATAAAAGGAAAGCTGTAAAAACTTCACAAGTAATAACCTTAAAAGTGAGTAAAACCCACTTTACTCTGTCGATTCAAATCCAGTTTGACCAACTAAGATGAAAAGACAGCTAATTTGTAAATGGATTCCACCTGTGTGTGATTTAATCTTAGTAGATGCATTCTATGAATTCCTCAGTCATGGTTCTCTACCTGAGAAGCAGTCAAGAGTCACATGGTAACTCTGGTGGAGTTAAATAAAGGCCAATCATGGAAGTAAAACATTTACAGCTGTAAAAAAAGTTGAGATCAAAGTTTTTTCATGTCTTCATGCTGCAAAGGGTGTCTGTGTGAAGTAGTGACTGAAATAAAAATGCATCTCACTTTTCAGATTTTATTTGTAAACAGTTTCTAAAACAATGGATGATTTTTCTTCCACTTAATTTTCCTGTACTTTGTATTTATCTAGTGTATAAAATCCCAATAAAATATATGGTTGTTTGTGGTAGCAATGTGACAAAATCTAACAAAAACCAAGGAGAAGGAAAATGTTTGCTAAGTACTACATAGTAAGTGAAATTAAATCTGATGCCTCACAGCCAATATAGTTTTATGGTCATAATAAGTAGAAATAATTGTTAACTCTGTGCTGTTGCTCTGCAGGCGGACGGATTGCTACGAGTAAACGGCGACATCAGAAATGATGCCAGTTCTATGAAGTCGGAGAGCAAAGAAAGGGACTCCCCTCCCCTGTTCCAGGCATCTCCAGATGCCCCCCCATCAGACGCCTCACCCACTCGCGATCCGCCCGCCTCCCCCGAAAGAGGAAGTCCAGTGTTAACAAAAACCAGCAGCAGACAGAGCAACATGGAGGCAACTTCAGTCACTGAGGGTTCGCCCACTCCTACTCGGCCCACTTCTCTTCCCGAGGTCAGATTCAGGATGTTTATGACTTACATTCATACACCATCTAATAAGGTTACTTTGAAAGCATTAGCAGGCATCTGAGTTATGCCAAACAGCTTGCTGTGGTGGAAAGAATGATTTGTTGGATCCAGTGAGCCTTTGTAAGCTCAAACGTGCTGCATCAGTTCAGTTTCTGTGGAAACGGGCTCTGTTGGTACAAAACACATAAAATCTCACAATATTCCTGCAAAGACATGCCTTTTATTTGAGACCTTAGGTTATTATTACAACTATTACATTTATTTAGTTTTCTTGTTCTTTCTCTGGATCTTTGCCCAATAATTCTTGACATCTGACTGTTTTGGTTGGAACTCTAGAAAGCAACAATTTCCTCCTTCACTGCTGACTCAGTCTTCCATCCAAACCATCTGTGACCATTACAGGAGCTGAAGCAGCCAGAGGACAGCTTTGTGGAGACAGGAGGCCAGAAAGAAGCTGTTCAACAGGAAGAAAAGTCAACTACTGCAGCTCAGAAAGCGCCATCTACAGGTCTTAGCAACACACTAAAATGCTCATTAGCATGCTTTCTGTTTATAGGCTATTTTTATTTGTGTGTAAAGCTATAATTTCTAGAATTTAGTTTGTATTGTCCTCCAGAATCTAAATCGGAGAAGATTCTTCCAACTGAGATAAACACACCAAACGACCCGGCCGTAACATCAACAGTAAGAGAAATTTAGTGGCCATTATACCAGAAGTCATCCAATCATTGTAAACCAGCTTGTAGGTAAGAGTTTCCTCTTTTCAGGGAGAGGAGACGGAAATGAATTCAGCTGCACCCGTATCGCTCGGACATAACCCCCTGAGGGAAACGTCATCAGGTGAATTCATGTCCTGAAGTCCACACATAGTCAGCAGCTTCTTTTCCATCCCTCCCTGTATTCTAAGTTTGATTATCATGTCAGTTTTGTTCGCTGTTTTTTCTTTTAGCTTTTTAGCACTTTCTTCTGACATAAGATGAAATGATTGATCACAACCTATTGTAGTCACTTCTTAGTTGTGTACAGATTTTTATCCATGTCAATAAGACACTTTGAAGCATTTTAAAAGCAAAACGTTCAGATAACAGTTTTGGACCAACGGAAATATATTGAAAAAATAAAGCACATATCCTAAAACCAAGAGTCTACTTATTACTAACTAAAATTCTATTAAACCTACCACATTGGTAAAAATACAGAACTTTTCCCTGGTTTGACTTAAAGTCTCTGCTTCAGCTCCTGATTTTCACATCTATCCCTCATTATTTCCTTCCCTGTTTTCCTTCTCTCCCACATTCCCTGTTTTTCTTCCATCCACGTATTTTTATCATTTTGCTGTAGAGTTTGAAATCAGTGTCAGGTCCCCGCAGTCCTCCAGTAACCCTAAGTCACGCTGGGAGTTCTTCGCTCCGCCAGGTAAACCTCTTTGTTGGTGGAGGTCTTCTTACCGCGCTAACATGCTGATGTACATTTTTCCCTCGTCCTTTTACTTTCTGAGGTATCTTTGAAGCTTTCTGTTTGAACTGCTTTTGTATATTGCTGAGAGTGCTTTGAGTTGATCAGACTGATCAGCTGATAACCAACTTTTGACAGTTTTCTTTTGAGTGTTCATGACTGATTTCTCCACTAAAACCAGCAGCATCTGACTTATATTAAACAAGCTTTAACAGTATGATCACACCTACATTGAACTATGTACGAGGTTCAATGTAGGATTCAATGAGAATTTTATACTCATAACTGTGTATGAAATTCGTGCAAACCTCATCCTGACAAGAAAACATTGAATTAATTACATTTTTAATTGTAGAAAAATATTCTTAAACTGCAAAATTTAGAAAAGTCTTTCATTTGAGTATTTTTTTTCTTTAGTGAGGAACATTTATTTATTTGTTTGGTTTAACTTTCATCACTGGTGCCACAATCCATTTTAGAGATGCCTAAATTGTTTAGCATCTCTAATGGTTTCCACAAAATAAGTGTAACTAAAGCATTTCTTTATTATTATTTTTTTATGCTTTTGTGATCTATTGTCCATTTCTGTAATCAGTATTAAGTATGTTGGAGGGTTATTGATGATACGGGTCTATTTCTTTGTCAAAGACACCTGGAACCCTAGAATAATGAGAAAATCAGGTAATTACTGGGTCCTTCAGCAAGAACGATCCTCCAGACAAAAATATCTGCCATTTTCCATGACCCTCTTGCTTTCCATACCCATGTCCCATACAATCCCTGGGTGGCATCTGATGTTTTGTAAAATAATAATAATAATACAATTAATTATATTTTGTGTACTATATTTTTTCTCTGGTTTAAAAATTAATTGATTTTTAGGCTCTGATCCAAATATATTGGTGTTACCAACAAGCAGAACCTAATCAATATTACATAATTTATAGTCTTATAAAAATTATGTATCGCTTTCATAATATATCTTCTTTTTGTTTTCATTCCAATTTGATATTTTGTAAACATCTGTCCCATCACTTTGTATTCAGAATATTACTTGACATTTATTTATCTGTTCCTTTTTTATTTACAGAAGCTGCAGAGAAAGATCGAGATGGAAATGTGAGTAACTGGTTTGCTGAGCTTTATGTTGCTTCTCTTCAGGCCTGATACTTTGTGCTAGAGAAATCTGAATGATGCAGTTTTAGTAGAAACTGTGATTTGGCTCAACTTCCTAAAGCAGCTACACTAGCACCGATATTTGGAAGATGTCTTTTGATTCGGCTCCTTTATGGAGAAAATAACATGTTTAACATTTGAAATTGGCTGTGTCACATTTTTTGGTAATGAAGTTGCTTCATGTGTATATGAAGTGAATGCATAATGTCATCAGCTATTTAATTTTATTCTAATGTTTGTGCTGTTGGTTTCTGCAGCCTCTGTGTTGAACTTGTGTGGATTCACCAAACATTTTACCTTTAATTCAAACTACAAACAGTTATAAACAGTCAAGCAGATGATAAACCTTCTCCAAAAATCTAAACCTACGTACAACTTTTATTTAATTTTCCATAAACAAAGCTCCATCATACTATGTAGTGATGCAAATGGCAACATTTTTTTCTTTCTTTTTTTTTTTTTTTGTTTTGTTTTGTTTTGTTTTTCTTTAGCTCATTTTTAGCTTAGCCTTTGGTTGTTGTCGCATTGGATGGTACTGAGCTAATTACTGAAGGTCACTCGGAGCTGTTGATGTAGCATGCCATATGAGGATGCTGCAGTTGATGGCTGAGACTGCTTTTTCCTTTTTATTCACCTCCAGCTCTTTTTCTCTGTCTTCTCTCTCCTTAGTAGGCGTCCTTTGGCTAGCAATGGAGTAGTGCTGTTGTGGTAGACCAAATATTTCTGTCTCCTCCCTTCTCCTTTCTTTTTTTCTGTGGTGGATGTGTGTGTACATCGGGGTCTATGTGAATGGGTTATGTGTGGACATCGATGTGTGCATGTATCTGTCGTGTGTTTGTGCATGTTGACCTGTGTGTATACGTGCGTGGGCCTATCAGGTGTCAGTCCCGGTGTTGGCCAAGGCCAGGCGGGGAGACCGCTGGTCTTGGGACCCGGATGAGGAGCGAAAGCGTCAGGAGAGGTGGCAGCAAGAGCAGGAGCGCATGCTGCAGGTACATGGTAACCACGCAGGGAAAAGCATGGCGCATGAGTGTGCAAGACCAGATTTAGTTTGTCATGTAGCTTGGTAGACAGAGCACAACACTAACAGTGAGTCTGGTTTTCTGTCCAGTCTGGAAATGTGTAGAGTTTGACTTCAGTACCTTACAGGTTTGAGAAAGAAAAGCAAAAAAATAAGCAAATACAAAGTAAATGAGAGAATGTTACATCTAACTCTGCCAGTTATAAAATGTAGATAATTGGAATCAGACCAACAGAGTGAGTTTAGTTTCATCAGACTTGCTTCATCTTGTTTGGACAAACCCGCAGAATCCACTCAGAAGTTATTTAGCCAGTTGTTTAGAGCATCTTTTTGTCTGGGATGGTTTGTTTATCACAGTACTCATCTAGTGCACAGTCACAGAAGGACTAACTGCACCTCATTGCTTTTTCCTCCCTGACATATTTTTGTTAATATTAAGCAAATCTCAACTGCCCTATGCTCACTTGAACCACTAGATGGCGAACTTGCACAGTGGAAGAAGCCCTGCTTTGGTCGTCTTCCATCACCGTCTCCATCTCATGCAAACACAAAGGCGGGGTGTTGTTGCTGTTGTTGCTGCCCCAGTCCCTCTCTCCCTCCTCAGCCACTGAGCATCTGTAGTCTGCACATGTTTAGACGTTTAAAGGAGTGAGGTCTGTTACTGACAGCGTTCATTTGCGACCTGAAAACAGATTACACTCCTTTCTGGTTGTTTGTGAGGATATCTGCTCAAACGGACGAATGCCTGACACATCAGTGTGCTCTCCACCTCCTCGCTGTTTTTCGTCTTTGTGCTCCAGTCTAACTCCATTATAAATGTTGATAATTCCTCTAACTCTCTGGGGTTCCTCCACACATTTGCATAACAGAGCGATGATTTGTCTTTTCTGGCAATTTTGCCGAAAATGATGAAAACTGTAAAGCAAATTTTCAAAAGATGATTGTGAAGGAACTCTGTGCTTATCAGCTTCTGCATGCTTTGGTATTGTCTGTTTTCTGCTGATCTTTCGTTTGATCCTTAACAGGCACATATCTAAGTAAAGAAAATAAAAATGCAGGCTTAAGTTGTTTTGGGGTTTTTTTGTCGTATTATTTTAAGGTTAGAAAATCAGTAGTTTTAGAAAACTAAAAATGAAAAGTTTTTCAAAGTGAAGGCTGTGCCAGCTAGCTGTGCGCATCTTTTCTGTTTTTTGGCCCAAACATCCACCTGCACAAAGTTCAGTTTTTCACTATACCTTGGCTCTCTGCTGTATGTCATGTGTCTGTTGCCATGGTGACAGGAGAAATACCAGCGTGAGCAGGAGAAACTGAAGGAGGAGTGGGAAAAAGCACAGAGGGAGGTGGCAGAGGAGGAGAGGAAGTATCATGAGGAGGTGTGTGCATGTGTGTGTGTGTGTTTGTGTTTACACATGCATTAGCTGAATTGTTACAACATACTAACTGTATGTTTCTGTGGCCATTTTAGATCTATAAACCAACCTACTGTGTTTATGTCAGTGTTTGGTTTGGGATTTTCTCCTTCCAAACAGGAGCGTCGGATACTGGAGGAGACGGTGATGCCTCTGACGCCCCGCTCCTCAGCCCTGCCCTCCCCCAGCCGAGGGGGGCTCTCCTCCACCTCCGAGCCACAGGATACGATCGTGCGTTCGCTGGCAGATTGGGAACGAAAACAGGAGCTACTGGAGAGACAGTCTGTGAGGGACTTATTCATTATGTTTTATGAATTATCTTGTTTGTCCCATTTCCCTGTACAAATACTTTTTATTTTTTTCTGTTAAAATTATAAACCTTAATGTATTATGAATTTGACTAACACAAAGTAGCACATGACTAAAATAAAAGGAAGAGGTGATTTACCTCAATCGACTTGCAGATATGATTGTAGAACAAAGTGGTTCTACAACAGATTGACTCAAAGGCTCTGAATAAAAATGCATGCCACACTTTTGAGATTTGAGAACCATGTATCATTTTCCTTTTATTTTATAATTATGTATTACTTTGTCTTAGTTTGTGATAAAGAATCCAAGATTCTGTTGCAGATAGTTAATATGACACTTGTAGCGCTAGAGCTAAAAACTATTAAACTATTAACTATTAAACTAACCCTAACCCTATTCTAGTTTAGTGATTGAAATGTATAGACAAACTCTCAGTAGTTATGTTAGCTAATGAAATATCTGCTGTTTTATGATTCAGAGAGGAAGTACAGAGAGTGCAGAATGGAAAAGGAAGGAAAATGACAGAACCAGTGACATCAGCACTGCTGACGACAGCATGAAGACGGGCAGAAGGTTAGTGAACCGAGACCTTAAGTAGCTAACAGTGTGGCTCAGATGGCTGTCTGATGATTTTGCTCAGTGAGTTGCTCCAATTGACTTTTGATGTTAATTTTTCGTTATTTACTTCACTCATGCATTCCTAAGTCTTAAAACATTTTCCATGAATTTATTTATGTCAAACGGCTTTTTATTTTTATTAGTAAGAAGATTCATGTGTTTTAATCTGAATTTTATTTTTATTCAAAACATATTTAAGTCAAAACATTCAAGATTTGTTCCTAAATATTAGGAGCCAATTCATTCTTTCTGTGTCATAAAGTCCAGATTTTAACATTATTTTGGACGAGGCTTTGAACATAAATAGAGATGAGGCTCTTGATCAAAGTTTCTGTGTTTTTCTTTCTTCCTTTATCAGCTTGGTGAGCCAGAACAGCAGTGAGGCAGAGAGACTTGGTCACAGTGTTCACAATGGCCAAAAGCTTCCTCCTCCATCCCCCAAATGTTCAACTCCACCCAAGAAGCAATCAGGGCCTGAAGGCACCAGAACCAGCCGGCCTGCTGGAGAACGAAGGTGTGTATATGTTTGAGAGACAGAAGAAATAAAGAGATTCATTCAATTTTATTAATCATTTATTTCAATTTTTCATAAACATTGTTTCCGTTTTAAGAAATTGCCTCCTTTTTGATTTAAAGGAGCCACTGTTGCATCCAAAAACGTCCAGCAGGTGGCATCTGCTGCCTGTATTTCCCTCCATGAATTTCCTTCACACAAATAACCCATTGCATTTCATGAAAGTGTTTAGAAAATATTTTTAGACAAGTCAAGATTTATAAAAACATAAAAAATGTTGTACTTAAATGGAAATGTGCTGTCGAATCTTCCAAAACGGTTTCTTGCGTTTGTGGTTTTGATTGATCGTGGTCCGTCTGTGTTGTCCAATCATGTTGCTGTTTCTAGGAGCCATCTTCATGTTGCATGTTGCTGTCCATTTCCAGGTGCGGCCCCACTGATAATAATGTAAGAAGCTCATCAAAGTCCCTCGCAGCATGTCCATCAGCACCAGACACATTTCCCCCACCGCCCAACAGGTACTGCAGCATAGAAAGCCCACCAAGACCAGGAGGATGGGCGCTGCTCGTTTCTGCATTGTCATTTTCTGCTTTACTCCCCAACCCCACCTTTATTTTCCTCCACTCATCTCATGCCATGTAGCACTGCAACAGCAAACTTGCAGTCTGCCTTGAATTTTAAATAGAGTGAACAGTTGTTTTTTTTGTTGTTTTTTTTTCCCATTTGAAACAATAATGTCAAGAAAAGTATTGTATTATATTTTGTTCATTTTAAGGAGATTCTTAAACCTTGCAGGAGAAATTCAAGTTTTCAAATCTATTTGAATTTCTAGGCTTTGATGAGGTTTCAAATAAAAAATAAAAATAAAAAAAAAGAAAAAACAGTTTAGGAAAAGAAAGGACAATGGTGGTAATTTAATCACAGGTAAAATATTTAGGCTGTGCATAGAAGAAACAGACTCTGTTTCTGAATGTTGGTTTGAAGAAAACCTTAACCAGGTCTTTTCTCCCTTTTGTAGGTCTGTCAGTGGGAAGAAGCTGTGCTCCAGCTGTAGTCAGCCTCTGGGGAAGGGAGCAGCCATGATCATAGAGACTCTCAGTCTCTACTTCCACATCCACTGCTTTAAGGTTGGTTGGCCCACAAGCTGCACTTTATCACTACAAGGTTTATTCACTGTAACAGATTCAGACCTCTCTGTTTTGTACAAGCAAAAGCTTGAATATCAAATGAGGAGAGTTAAAGAAGATGATTTAAATACAGTTTCTGCACAGTGCCTTACAAAATTATTCATATACATGAACTTTTTCCCATTTTGTCACATTTCTACTTCAAACAGTGTATTTTTGTTGAGGGTTTATGATACAAGCCAATACCTTCCTAATAGTATGGCGAGCTTTTGTAGTCAATGAACTTGAGTCAATTACATAGTTAACAGATTTAATTTGAATATCAGTATAAATGCAACCGTTTTGTGAAAAAATGTAAATATCTGGGTTGAAGTGTAAAGAATTGTTTTAGGAAAACCTATAAGAAGCTGGAAAAGGCTTGAAACTGGGATGGAGTTTCACCTTCCAGCAGATCAAGGTGCTTGGACATGCAGCCAGAGCTACAATGGATAAAAGTCTAATTTTTCCAGAACTGAGAGGGAGTTTTTTATTTTTTATTTTAATGTATTAATAAATGAATAAACTATATTTGCTGTCTTCTCCTTGCCTGTCTCTTTGTTAGTGTGGGGTATGTAAAGGACAGTTAGGCGACACAACCACGGGGACAGACGTCCGGATCAGAAACGGGCTCCTCAATTGCAACCAATGTTACATTCGTTCCCGCTGTAAGTTTCCAAACTTTCTTTCTATCCCCATCTATTGTTTTTTTTTTCTTTAAAATTTGCAGTTTCTACTTATCCACCTAAAATGTTATTCAAATTAACCATCTTCATGTCCTATAGCCTGTCTATGTGCTCCAGAATTAAAAGTTCTGTTAAAGTTTAACAAAAGGATACACACTGTGAATTGCTGTATATATGTTAATTCTGGTTCATCGATTTAGTGTTTTAAAGGAAACTGATTCTGCTTCTCTCTAAAACTTTTAAATCAGAACATTCTCTATTACTTAAAAGTTGTGATCCTGGTGAGTCACCAAGTGTTTTATTAAAAAAATCTCTTCACTATCCCTTTAATAAACGCAAGTCAGACTCTGTGAAGCCTCAGAAGGAAGTCTGAAAGGAGATGACAAAATTAAATCAAAACCTTTTGTTGGAAAATTTACATTTTTATTTCTTTTTTAAAACTTCTGCTCGTTAAAATTGTTGGTTTCTTTTTCCTTGTCTTTTCTCTGAAGCGGCCGGACAGCCGACCACATTGTGATGCTCAAGTGAAAAGCACAAGGTTTACAGAAGAAAGCCTCATTCTCATTTTAACCTAATTATCCACCAATCACGTCCTGCGCAGCCTTTTGGGATGTGTGCTTCCTCTGCAGCTCTATGACCACCGAAGATGCATCATATGGGCCAAATAGACATCTGGGAACTGTTGAATGTTTAAAACAAGGACTTATATTCTCTGTGCTCATTTCATCTGTTACATGAGTGAATTCTGGATTCAATTTATTCTCGTCTTTCCATAAAACATGCTCCATCATGCAGTGAGTTTGTTTTAAGGCGGCAGCCATATTGGAAAGAATCCACATTGAACACACTGAGAAAAATCTGACTGCTTTTGAAACTGGAAAAAAAATCACAAAAATATGATGCAATCTGTTTTAGATTAAAGATTGATGTTGTTCCAAAGGGTAAAAATCGATGTTGGGCAGAAAATGAGATCAGATAACTCATTCTGAATGTTCTAAAGGTATAAACACTACTACTTCAGGTAAATAATATTTGAATTTATATGGTAAATTACAAAAGTACAATGAAGCTATGAATGAACCTTTAGAAACACATACAATATACAAAAGTAAATATTTTTTTCACCTTTGACTGTCATATAAAAGCTTTTGTTTCTGTAAAGAATGTGATTAAATTCTACTATAAAGGTATAGAGCAATTTGGGCTCATTTTAAAGGCAGTAATGTGAGTTGTGAGCTATTTGGTTGCAGCAGATTGTTCTTTATGCAGTCTGTCTGGTTGTATAGCCAACAGTTTAACGTGCCTTAGAAGGGGAAAGGATCCACGAAGTAAAGCACCAGATGTATGGTGTCTTATTTCTGCACTATTTTCATTTTGTGACAAGTGATTTGGTCAAATTCAAAGTGGGAAAGTGCAGAAAAGCAAACTCCATCCCGCCGTCAGCCGCTTAATCACTGCTGTTTATTTTCATACAAACATATTCAATTTCATCATCTCCCTTTGATTGCCCTGTAATCTGTAATGGTGAATGACAAAAGGAAAAAAAAAACATTTGTTACACAATATGCTGTGTTCTCCATACCACAGGGCAAATCTGGGTTTCATTTTGAATGTTTGTGATATTTAATGTGTAAAAATCAGGCTTATTTTGGTCATATCTCAGCTGTATAGTTCCTTTATGCACCTGAAAAAGCATAAACATAAACATTTGTTGTATCTGAAACATCTATCATCAGTAGAGGTAATATGAAGACATACCAGCAGCAGCTGCACCTCTGCAATATTTGGTTGGTTTAAAACTAAAGACCTATCCTGCCAGCTGCACATTTAGGACTCTTGCTAAGAGCTTGGTTATATGTTGCGGGTGTGTTGAAAAAAAATGCATGTTTAAGCATAAAACCAAATGATTTGCTGTATGAAAGTAAAGCAGCCTAAACTTCCTTGTGCTGAACAGGCTTCACCTCCAGGGTCTTCTCTCACTTTTTCTGATCTGCAGTATTTTAGGATCATTTTCCAGCTGTTGTATTTTTATTTTATTTTTTTTTATCCTCATTTAGCTGATGAGTAAGTCAAGGACGAGTCTTTTATAGCAGTATCTTTGAGTCTGAGCTCCTCTCCCAGAGGGTTTTAACAGAACAGTAGGGGAATGGAAACCTTTTGCATCTGTACTGTATTTATTGTATAATATTCACCTTGAACACTATTCGGAATATAGTTTCATTTGATGTTTAAATGCAATGGCATTTATTATTACATTACTGTATGTTTATAAATAAATATTATAAATCAAAGATATATTTCTTTTCTTTTTATTGCAAAACAAGTGGCTGGTATACATTTGGAAAGTCCTGGAAATGTAAGAATAAGTCCATCCCTCCCCCAGCTCATATTTGCTGGAAAATCAATGTCTGTTTTTTTTTTTTTTTTTTTTTTTTTTGCAGCATCAGTGTTGAAAATACAAATCCTTCCACATCATTTATTTCCATATATATTTTACATGATTCGAAATGGTGCAAAAGCCTAATGACCAACTGAACAAAATGCATATATTTAGTTTGGAGATATAGTAAATGTAGAATGATTCTGCAGAGAATGTGGTTTATGCTTGGGAATAATTCAACTATTTACTCTCAATTTCATATCGATTGAAACTATAAAATAACATTGATTTTTATTATTTTGTGTCAACTGCCTTAAAAATTCTTTCTGAAAAAAATTGATGGGAGTGTATTACTTTTGGTAATTTGTTCTCTTCTTATTTACTGTGTTAAAAGAGAATTTAGTAAACTATATATAATTTTTTTATCCACCTAAATTTTTCTTACTGTGTTTTATTTGTTTGTTTTGCTTTGTTTTCATTTCTGTTTGTTTTTCTTGACTCATTTCCTTTTCACTAAGCAGACCAAATTATTCTAAATATTGCTATTATTGTTTTTTTTTATTTTAAGGTTATGTTGTTTCATTTAGCCTATTTTCACTCGTCTGGTAATTTGGTCGTTTTGTGTGTGTATATATATATATATATATATATATAATATACATATATATATATATTATATATATACATATATATATATATATATATATATATATATATATATATATATATATATATATATACATATATATATATATATATATATATATATATATATATATATATATATATATATATATATATATATATATATATATATATATATATTCATTTGTTATTTTTGTTTGTCACTTTTGTTGTTATTTTCCATAAAAATTACGAATAATAATTCGTCTAAAACAACATTACCAGAATGCTTTGTTTTATTTATTTATCTACTTTTCGATGTGTAAACACTTCAAAGCTGATGAGACAGAATGCCTGGAATGTTTTGTCAAGTGAAAACCATATTTTGTTTTGTTTGTTTTGGGGGAGTAAAGATGTGGTTGTTTGGTTATTATTAAAGAATCTATGGGGCCAAAATGAATTATAAACCGCGCCGGAACTGTCCCTGGTGCTGAAATCGACGGCCGTTGTTAACCACCGGGATGAAAGTTACAATATAGAATAATGTTTGCTTCTTGAACTTCTTTAAAAAATGACAAAAGCAAGTTTGAACTATTTTTTTTTATCATCAACAATCATTTCAATGGTACACCTTGAAAACTATGTGCACATGTAGAAATATTTCCTTCTTAAATATAAGCATTCATTACCTACATATAAATAACTTTCAGATCCTGGACAAAAACATGTTACATTATGCTCACAAAATGGGAGAAAATCATTTTAAACCAGACAAAAAGACAACATGCAAATTATATAGAAATAAATACAATGTCTGCATCCATCCCCCCTTTTTTAATACCCAAAATAAATTCTTTCGAGGGAATTTTAGTAAAACATCAAAAAGACTTGTATGGTCGATCTACGAGGGAATATGGCCTATGGTTCAACTATAAGAGACAAGAATACGTAATAACACTATACAGTTTGAGCCACAAAACACTGCCGTAGAAAGACACACAAAACATACAGATTTCCTGTCTGAGGTGAACATTGCAGTAGTTTGTGCCTTTTTTAATATCGAGGAAACAAGTGTGTTTGTAGCGACAATTTAAAAAAACTAAACTCTGCAGCCCTAAGAAACAAAATAATACCGCAGTTTCCACACAGCTGGCTGTGTATGGAGGGAAGAAACAAGCGCGTCGGTGGATGTTTGTGTCGGAGCCTCAGTCATGGCTATCAGGCGCCTCTGGACCCAACAAAAGCAGCTGTTGGACTCTGACTCTGAATGGGATTTAACGAGGCTCCTTTGCGTTCTGATGGCGTTTCCAGTGTGCCAACCGTCGTTTTTTTCCCCACATTGAGAACAAAAATAAACAACTGAACAAGCCATTTGCTCCAACATTTTTTTCTAAAACTAAATTAAAGTGAGGTATGACGCCGTTCTATATTTTAAGTGAGAGTGTTTCGCTGTTTTGTAGGTAAATAGCTCTGAGACTTGACTAGAAGGTGTTAGCAGTTCACCCAACTTGCTTCAGTCTCAATGTGAAAGTGTGACTTGTCAAGATGGATATTTTACAGGAAAAGTGTTGACCACAAGAAAATGCGCGAGGTAAAAATAAAATAACCATATTCATCTGTTTTTCTATCTGCTTTTCATTGTCCTCCAGTCTGTGTTGGGCGATTGCTTTTCAGTCTCCAAGAACTCTGCTCGGGTTTTCTAAGCTTCATTAGAACATGCTGGTCTTTACTAGTGTCGCTTTAGCTCCGTTCTGTCTTTGCAAAGACGACAGTACGCTGGCGAATGGCCCGCCCAAAGAGTCCGGGATGGATGTGATGGTCCCGGGTGCGGCGGCCCAGCCTTGGCTCGGTGCCGTCACTCCCATGCCAGTGGATACGGAGGTCTTCACTTGGTCCACCTGTCCGTTCCCGGTGGTGTTGACCTGGCCTGCGGCGGGGCTCGGTCCGCCGCAGTTGGAAGTGGGAACCGGGTTCGGTCCCGGTCCTCCCGTGCTGTCTGGGTCGGTAGTTTTGGTGTCTTTACTGTCTTCGTCTCTGGAGTCGGACTTCTTCCCGGAGCTGGACTTGGCAGCCGCTGCGGCCGCTGCAGCTGCGCGCTCCTGCTTGCGGAATTTCGCGCGTCGATTTTGGAACCAGACCTGGAAAAACGTCCAAAAGGTTTTTACCACATACACAACATTGAAATTATATTTCTGTTCAATTGTTTCATAGTTGTGATACAAGAAATATTAAAATTTAAGTTGCATAATCTTGTGTCTGTTTGTGTCAATATTAGTAAAATAAAAGATACAAGCTTTTTATCTAATTATTTACTTGAAAATGATTAGATGAATCGTTCGTAAAGGCAGCCCCCAGCGGTGGGCGCCTGTTGAACTGTGGGGGTTTTGTACCTGCACTCTGGCTTCAGTCAGATCGATCTTGAGTGCCAGCTCCTCTCTGGTGTAGATGTCCGGGTAGTGAGTCTCTGCAAAAACCCGCTCCAGCTCCTTTAGCTGCGCGCTGGTGAACGTGGTCCGGATGCGCCTCTGCTTCCTCTTTTCGTTCAGCCCACCATGATCGGTGAATAGTTTGTAGGGAACTGTAAAGCAAAAGGAAAAGTCAAAGGAAATGTCAAGGCTGACAAATGTTATCCGCTCAGGAAAAATGGAAGGAGATTGTTTAAGTGTGATGCTGTCAAATGGAAGTAAATTGAAATTTGGTTATTTTGTGTAAAATCCAGTTACGCACGCTGAGTTGGAGCTTCCAGTTAAATCGTGTATTTGATTACCTTTGAATTAGATCAGAATTGATAACACTGCTGACCTGTGAAGCGGCTAATTGTAAAATTAATTGTTGCTCCTCAGATTGAGGCTCCTGTTTGAAAACTTGTCATAATGTTGCCGTCCGCCTCGCTTGTTGCTACTGTAACTCCAATTTGGTGTCAATAATGAGCTTTAGTCTTTGGTTATCTAATTATTTTCGAAGCTTTATGTCTCATCGCAAAGTAAATAAATTATGCCTATCATTTTGGCAGCTTAAGATAATTCTGTTGGCGGTTTTGGGTGTGACTGGGATAGTATAACCCCATAACCGAATTACCTCTTGCCTGCAATCGCTTCTAACGTGATAAATTCTTTCATTTGTGTAAGCAAATTTCGTTTGGTAAATACTAAACACATTTCCATTTTCAAATGCAATCAAGGCGTCCTATAATACACCAGGTTGAGGCTGCGGAGCTCTGCTGCTTACCTGCGGCATACGGGCTGCTCTGGTGATCCCGCAGGGTCCCCAGACTGCAGGACCCCGGCGTTAGGGAAGGACAGCCGGAGGTGGCCCGAAAGTGGTCCTGATGGGATTGTACTGGAAGCCGCTCGTCTGACTGCACGAACTGAAGTCCGCGTAGGCCGATGCCAAGCTCGACGTGTCCATCCCGGCCATACATGACTCGTAGGCAGAGGAATTTAGGTAAGAATACTCCATTTTATACATTTGAGAAGGCTCGGTTGCGATTGAAATCTGCACTTCCCTGGGAAAAAAAGTCAAACAGAAGCACCCAAAAATGGGTCTGAAATGAAAAAAAAAAAAAAAAACAAATAAAAAATCAAAACGAGGAAGACGTGCGGTCTGAGTTTGATGACTTGTTTGGTTTGGACTGCTTAGAAGAAGGCTGGACGGTGAGTAGATGTTCACTGCTCAGCGCCTGCTCCAAAACTGGCCTCCTTTATACGAACCTAGCCCTGTTTTATGAAAAGCCCCCTAAGAGCCGCCTAGCCCGAGGTCTCTAGAGCATATAGTCCTCATAATAAACTTGGCTCTTTCCGCTTGGACAATAGCAAAGCGTTTGGTCTTATTGCTAGCGCTTTTTTACATGACAATAACTCATCAGTCTATTGGGCTGGCACTGGGGGCCCGGGCTGTCCAACCTCCCTATCATTGATCCCCTGCATCTCTAATTAGAATTTAATACCACGCCATTACGCAGCCCTCCACCGCCGCCGCCGCCGCCGCCCACCTCCTCCACCCATCCACCCCACTCCTCTCCAACCAACATCTTGCCCTTTAATTCAATCACACCACTTGGAAATAATGAAAGTTGGGTGACGATTCTCCCTGATCCAATTTTCTCCAAGCTTTTAAGCCTTTTAAGCGACCGTATACCTTGGGCAGGATTTCACAGAGTATTCCCACTCTGCCTCTTCTTTCTGTCCGTATGCTCCGACATTTTTTCCCTCCTGTTTCTGCCTCTGATCTTCTGCATTGAAGCGGTAAAACATGTCAATTTTTATCCAGTAAAATGACCTATCTTTACGCA